CTGAACTTGACACAGCTCTGGGACATTGCGGAGCTACGTCTGTCGGCCCTGATGGTGTCCACTACTTTTTTCTTGAGCACCTCAGTCCAACATCTAAGGAAGAGCTTTTAAAGATGTTCAATATCATATGGGCGAATGATGTCTTTCCCCAAGAGTGGAAGAAATCGTACACCATCCCCATCCACAAGAGTGGCAGACCACGAGAATTAGCATCATCTTATAGACCCATCCAACTCACTTCTAACATATGCAAAACCCTTGAACGCATGCTGAATGCTCGGCTTTTGTGGTACCTGGAATCACAGAATATCCTCTCGCCGTATCAGTCTGGCTTTCGAAAAGGACGACAATGCCTTGACAACACTGTGCGATTAGAAACCGACATCAGATGTGGATTTTACTTGCGGTTTTACACAGTTGCTGTTTTCTTGGACATGCATTCGGCTTATAATATGGTTTCTGTTCCTGCCCTCCTTCAGAAACTTGAGAATATAGGTCTCCGAGGACACTTGCCGATCTTCGTCAAGAATTTTCTATCTGGTCGTTCATTCCGAGTCGACTGCAAAGGTTTGTCAGATGAATTTCGTCAAGAGAATGGTGTGGTGCAGGGTGGGGTCTTATCACCAACCTTGTTTCTCCTATTCATCAATGATATTTGCCACCACTTACCACATGGTGTCAGTTACTCTCTTTTTGCCGATGACTGTGCAATTTGGGCGCAGGGGTCGGACTTATCTGCGGTCCTCGCTAAGTTACAGAGAGCGCTTGGCTGTCTAGAGAGATGGACTGACAGATGGGGCATGACTTTCTCGGGTCAGAAGTCCTCTGCTATTATTTTCAGCCGTTATCGCACTCGGCTGCCCCCAGATCGTACACTGTCCATTCAAGGTGCTGATATCCCTTATGTTGACCATGCACGCTTCCTAGGAATTGTCTTCGACTCCCGGATGAACATGAAGCAACACATCGAGCATGTGAAAACAAAGGTTATTAAACGACAGAGCTTGTTACAGTGCATTTCTGGGGTAGCACATGGTGGAGACAGGAAAACTATGCTTCGTCTTTACAAAACACTCGTACGACCAGTGATAGACTATGGCTCACAGGTATACGACGGTGGACCGGCAGGGATGTTGAGGAAACTTGAACCGCTTCAAAATAGGTTTATCAGACTCGCGACGGGAGCGTTCCGCACCACTCCCATTCCAGCTTTGCTTGCCGAGGCAAATGTCTATCCACTCTGGTTACGGAGAGTCGAGCTGACAATCAGATTTTCTTTGAGAGTCCGAGGGGACCTCAACCACCCAGCGTACACGGCCATGCAAAAGATGAGTTATCTGTATGATAGAAACCGTGATGTACCTCCGAAAAGGTCTGGTTTTCCCATTGGTGCCAGAGTACAGCGTTATCTTGATCGGCTGCGTGTTGCTTTACCGATACCCACTGCGCGCGCTCTTTTGCCGATTCCACCGTGGACTCTCAAAGGGCCCCAATACACACATCTTCCAGTGTCCTCCAAGAATTTGTGCACTCCAGCTGAGTTACGGGCGAGCTTTTACCAGACTATTGCGATGTACCCTGATTTTACCATCTTTTTCACGGATGGGTCCAAGCAGAACCTAAACACCGCATGTGCTTTTGTCTTTGAACATGTCTACTTCGACGATCGCTTACCAGATGACACCAGTGTGCACTGTGCTGAACTGTTTGCCATCCTACGAGCTCTGCAGTATATCGTTTCTCGCAGAGTTCCCAGAGCCATTGTCTGCAGTGACAGCAAATCGGCACTGCAGAGTCTCACAAATACTGGTAACTCGAGATCCGTGGTGAGGGACATCCAGATGACCTTACATGAAATAGACCAAAATCATCAGGATGTCCTCCTCATGTGGATTCCAGGCCATGTTGGAATACCTGGAAATGAAATGGCAGACAGTCGCGCCAAACAAGCACTGACTAAAGAGGACATCACACCCATGCCCCCCGATTACAGAGACATACTGCCCATGCTCAGGCGATCTGTTGCAAATTGGTTTTCCAGGTCGTGGAAGGACAGTGGACCGACTCTCCTTAAAGCGGTTAAACCTGACACCGGGGAATGGGAATCATCAAACCGAAAGTCAAGAAGGGAAGAGGTTGCCCTTGCTCGGCTTAGACTAGGGCATACTAGACTGACCCATAGCGGGCTCTTCAACAACTCGAGATTTGAGTTATGCACAACATGCAACAGCCCATTAAGTGTGGTACACATCATCTTACACTGCCGCAAGTACACAATGGACAGACGAAACCTCAGACGACTATGTACTACAATGAATGTTTCTTTCGATCTAACACATCTCCTGAGTGATGAATATCCGGTTCTCATAGAGGCAGTCTGTGATTACCTTCGGAGAACCCAACTGCTAGAACAACTATAGCAGAACGACCTCATCATGATTACACATACTACACACAGATGGTTATCTCACATTGTTGAAACTCATCATACTCCTACTCTCTCTTTCCCATCCTCCATGTCCTTCATGCCCCTGTCAGTCCTAATTTCCTGGTATACCTGTCTCACATTCCCCAGACTCGATTATGACCCACTGGCTTTAGCCAGGCTTTCCAGCCCCGAAGAACAGCAAGACGAATCGAAGAATCGACGCTAATAGTCAAGTCTGACTGATGCGTCGTTAAACAACCAAGAAACAAACAAACAAGCAGTGTGGCAGGCAAGCAGAGCGCATTGCGTTTTTGTTGTTGTTTTCTCATTCGTTTGTTTGCTTGTTTGTTTGTGCTCGTTTGCTTTTCTGTTTTGTACCTAAACAGTTTTGGATAGTCGTTTGGCTTGGATTTATTGTTATAGGGAGCAACTTTGTCCGGGGAAAAGTTAAAATGATTTTTGATTGACCCAAGGCTGAGGCATGTTGATGGTGTAAGACTGACCTGGGCCCTGTTTCACCGGTGATAGCAGCACGCTGCTTTTACACGTGTCAAATTGGGTTTCCATGGAAACATCAACAGGCCCATTGCTCCAACACTACCACAAGTGTGACGTCAGCTCGTGCAATTTGATAGCAGCGTGGTAGCAGCGTCCCGTGAAACACCGCCCTGAGTCCTGACGTGTTTCCATGGTGTTGGGCTTGAGATCAGAGTTCTGTTCGCCCCCCGTTTGTTTTTCAGCAGGCTGTGAGCATGCTGCTACTTCTTGGCTCATCATTGGTCGAATTCAAGTGATCTATTCGTTAGACCAATGAGAGGCCAAGAAACGCCAGTAATACCTTCCTTACATGGGGAAAACCGACAGCATGCTGATATAAAAACAGTGTCCGAACAGGTTTACCAAATTTGAATAATTATTTTTTCTGAACTGCTTATTAAAAGACCAAAGTTAGTGGGTACCTGGACATGCCGCACAATAATTGTTGATAAGATCATGAAATGCAGACCACAAGAAGCCACCAGTTGCCTGTTGCAGTGGAAAGCTGAGGATGAGGAAGCCTAACGCCAAGCAGGAATGCTTTCATCATCGGAATCATAAATGACTGGAATGCCCTGCCATCAGATGTCACAAATTAGCTCAGTCACTGTCGTCTTTCAAGGCGTGACTGCAGTCACTTATGATTCCGGCACCAGTCCTTGGAGTGGACCAGCACCCAGACTGGAAAACATCCATACACTACGCTGGACGCCCGTGAGACCGTCTTGCGTCGAAATTTGGCATAAGCGATTTTGCACTGAAATTTCTGCATGAGTTGCACCGAAAATTGGGTGCCTATATGTGCCAATATTAAGCCACTTTTATATAAAACACATATGTACATCTACTGATCAAGGCTATACTAACCAGACAGAGCATCCGGGGGCCTTGGGCACTCTGGTGTTTGAGTGTGCGAGTAAGTTTTTATATCCACGAAAATCCAATACCTTAATTCATATGCTTAGCGCACTGAAGCGTCATGCCGTGAAACAAGGCAGGGCCGGAAGCTATGGAGTCACAAATATCGGACGAGCGCCGAGCGGTGTGTTCGAGGCTGACGGAAGCCAGCGAGGGCCGGGCAACGGAGCAGCACGTGCTCCAGCACATCAGTCTCTTCTCGGCACACGGCGCAGAGCGCCGCAGGGCACCGCTTGTTTGGGCACTGGGCCTGGCACGCTGCGGAGTGGAGACAGCCGATTCGGTGCAGTGTACTGGAGCGAGCGGCCCCAGTGGCCCGCCCGTGCACCGAAACGGCCTCCTTTCGGTCCTCTCCGGGGATAGGGAGCGGCGGCGTGCTCCCGAGGAGTGGCTTGAATAGTGACTCGGACCAGTTGTCGCGCCATTGACGCGAGGCCGCACAATGAACCGCCCGGGTCAGCGAGCGGTCGTTTGAAGGCAGGGCCGGCAGGGCGGCTGCTTGTTTCGCCAGGTCGTCCGCGATCTCATTCTCGATACCGCAGTGGGCAGGAACCCACCGCAGTATTACTTAAGGACGCTTGGCGACGTTCAACAAGGTCTTCCATACTTATCTTCTCCACGCCGAGGGTTGAGGCCTCACCTGGGCGGCCGCTCCTCCGGTGAGTAGACTGACTCATGGCGGCTCGCCAGAAGCACGCGACGACCGGGGCGAGGACGTCTCATCCCAAAACATCTCCAGAGCCGCTCGCAGGGCGAATCTGCTGCTAGATTGACCAGCGTGCCGACTGTAATAAGTGACCGTCTTTCGCCAAAAAATTATGCGGCCGCCCTGCGCCTGAAAAATTCCGCCGCCGCCATGCGCTGAATTCGGCGCATGCGAAGTTATGCCGAGCGCTGTTCGGCAGCCGGCTATTTTGTGTGCAGGGTATGACGTATTTCGCGAGCCGACGTCACAGGCGGTGACGTCGGCTCGCGCGCGAGCCGAGCGCCAACGACAAACTTACGGGAACCCTCGGACACCCTCGGGGCATAAACCGCGGAGTAGCATATTGAGCGAGTCTTATAAGGAAAATTCATATATTTTCGTTTCTCAAATGATAATCAGGGCGTCTCTTACCTTTTTACATATCATTTAGGCTTACCTAACACTTCAGTTGCCAAATATCTGCAATTTATTCAAGCGAAGGTATTTTCAGTAAATATCAATGGTATAGGCCGAAATCTTTTGAATAAAAACTCCAACCAACAGAAATAAAAATAACTTAATTTATTCCAACCATTTCCTCCAAATAAACAACATAAAAACTCACTTTTACACACATCATTCATAATAAAGCATACTAACACGCCGCTTTCGACAATTGCGGCGTCGAGTGGCGCGCTGCTAGCGCTCTTTTTCGATCGCAGAGACCCTGCACGCGCGCGAGCACACTACGTCACGTCCGGGGGGCACAGGTATATGAAAAATCGCAGTGACGTAACACTTTTCTCGCTTCTCATTGGTCAATAGCCCGTTGCCGGGGTAACGTGCACGTATGTGAGCGCGGGCAAGAGTACTAGCCGGCCGCCGATCAGGGCTCCGGAGCGCTGTTCGGCGGCCGGCTAGCGCGCTAGCCCGCGCACACATACGTGCACGTTGCCCCGGCAACGGGCTATTGACCAATGAGAAGCGCGCTACGGGGGGCGCAGGTAGCGTATTTACAAATTGCAACCGAGCTCCGCCGTAGGGTATTTTATTTCCGCCGTAGTGTATTTCACTTGGGGGATTTTCTACCAGGCATCTGCCTGAGCTTAGGGTAATTACAATTTGTCGGCGACGTTCAAAAATCATGCACCTTTTTTCGCAGTATAGGATATCGCATGTGCATATTTCTGCCTTTTTGGGTGCGGTTTATCGGTTTTTCGTGAGTAACTCGCGTAAAAACCGTCCGGTCGCGACGAAACTTTCAATACCCCCGATTTTATCAATTTTACACCTACCCTGAAAATTTCATGACTCTGACCCAAATGACCTTTGACCTGTGACCTATTTCTCGAGACCAGTTTGGCCCGAATCGCGATTCGGCTTATGTCGGCTCGCATTAGCCGCGCGGTTGCAGTCTTTACGTGGTTTCAAGCGTTGAAACATGTGATATGATGCTGGTCCCATGCATTAGGGTGGGGTGGGTGTCAAGGTCACTTGAAGGTCAGGCCAGCTCAATGACCTTTGATGACCTCGGTTCACTTTTTCGAGTTTTACATGTTTCTAGGCTAGTTTTTGGAGCTGATTTCGAATTTAGCAACCATTTGAACATTACGGGGGGTGTAACGAAATTATCCGGACACCTTTCTTCCCGCTGTAATTAAAAAGCAAAACAATCTGGTACTTTTTCTTTTAACTGAGCTTGTAGCCACCTTTCATAAAAACACAGTGGCGAATGTTCTGGAGCATTTCAGCCAATGGATTCTCCAGCACACTGGCTTTGATGCGGACCAACGCCGTCTAAACCTGTGCCTGCGGTTGAGCAGTGCTTATGGCGGGTGGCTCTTCATACACCTCCTGCTGAACAAGAGCCCACAGGTTTTCGATTGAATTGGGATCGCAACTTTTTCCAAGTCATAAGCGTTAGCCCAGAATGATTGAAGATTCTATCGGCATCACTTCCCGTTCTTTAAGGGACTTTTAAGTAGCGCGCCGCCCCGCATGAAGACAGCGTGGCTTGAATCAGGCATCAGTGCGCGTTCAGAAACCGTGCCCTCCTATGCCGTCTGGTTGAGCGCCTCCAATCATGCTCCACCACCTTCCCTGGAAAAGCTCCACCCTTGCCTATGGGGCAAAATATAAGGGACAAAAACACAAAACAAGACAGATAAAAACAAAGCAAAATTAACTCATTACCTAATGAAATTCAGGCTGGAGAAAAAGCATAGGTAATAGGTATCTATGTCAAATTAGAATGAAAGATAAAATCAACCTGACCAGGCCTTACGGTCTGACCTGGTCCTAACCACCTAACTTCGCCTAACTTAACCCAATTCAACCTAGCCTACCACAACACCCTGCAGAGGTACCTTCCTGGAAAAATGACGCCCAGGGAGGTGACTGTCCAACTTATTGGAATACTACCATGATTGCTTGTCAAAATGTGTGTCATCATGCTCTTGTTTGACAAGTGATGTATAATAAATCGGATATTCAATAATTATTTTATTATTTATTTATTTTTCGGTTCACCCGACAACCACAACCAAGTGGGCATATCTCCTGACTGTTGACTGTTGAGTGATCAAAATATTCAAATAATCAGGGTACAATGCTGTGCATAGTGCACACTAATCATGTTGTTTTTGTGTAGGCCCTCTGCACATTGTTGTGTGCACTGCTATGTGCACCTTAAGTAAAAAAGTGACTGGTGGACGGTGGTGCATGACAAAAGGTTGTGCAACTGTGAAGTTCATGCCCTTGGTCTTGCTGGTGCCAAATGCCTATAGCTATAGCAATATCAGTGAGGGTTGTAGACATGCTACATACATTGTGCATTGAAGATATTGGCACAAAGTTCATGCGTAATTACTATGTTTAACACCTAATGTAAGAAGCGACATAAATACCCAGATGATAAAGCTCTCTGGTCAGCATCACACAAATTTATTGACATACTTTGCAGGTACATATTTACATTCATGGCAAATACTTTCAATACTGTATGAGTCATTTGACCTTATCCTCAATCCTTTAAGTAAACTGTAATGGAAAAAATACAATACAAAAGCGATTGTAGCGCAGACCAGTTAGGCTGCGCTACAACGTGCACCAGTTAGGCTGCGCTACGACCAGTTAGGCTGCGCTACAACGAGCATCTCAGAAGTGGGATCAACAAGGAGGCCGGCACGCCCCTCGGAGACCATGTAGCGCAAAAACATCCGTCAAGCTGTCCAGATGACACCAGATTAACGGCTCGTATCTTGAATGTTTGTAAGGATGAAGCAGACAGGAAAATTACAGAATCCATTAGAATTCGTGAGCATAGGCCCAAAATCAACTACAACACAGTGTCGTGGCAAATTCTTGCATAGTTGGAGGTGATTATGTAGGGTGACAGACAACTTGAGCGTGAATACGTGAACGTGAAACTTGAACGTGAATTTGATAGTGACTTATGAATATGGGTATACCGGTGTTCAACTGTACTACGGGTATAAGGGTATGAAGGGTAATATATCGTGTGCTTTGGTATGGGAGGGCAATTTATGTAGTTGTCACGCGATAGATGATATTTCGGGCTGGAAAGTGGCAAATGTGACGAAATGCTACTTTGAAGTGAGACGTGTTCTGCACTTATACTAACTTCCGAACCGATTGAGAAAGAGCAGTGCTCGAAATATATCGCTTTTGTATTGTATTTTTTCCATTACAGTTTACTTAAAGGATTGAGGATAAGGTCAAATGACTCATACAGTATTAACAATGATTTTCCTCATAACGCTGAACTTAATCAAAGACGCAAATACTTTCAATTTGATTCAGAAACTAGTTGCTAGTAAGCTTGCATTTTTGTAGGTACAAAAACGACCATATATTAAATCATAAAAAACCTTCTAATGGCATTCATCACATACCTTTTTACCGAACAAGTACCTAGCTACCATGCAATGATTCTAAAATTTGTCCGCAATCCATCTATATCTCAACTGACACAATGAATTTGAAATACCCTGGGCCTGACAAAATCTATAACTGTACATAAGAAGAATGCAATGCTACAAGAACTATGAATTTCTGAAGTTATTCTCACATGCTGGAATGTTGAAACTCTATTTTTGTCGACCATTTCCACGTTTGATTGAGCCATCATATAGAACTGTTTTCGTTCTTCAGTCACAAGCTTTCGCAAAAATCTTGAATTTTTACACATCATCTTGAACCATGCTCCAGTCTTGCCAACAAGGTACTATGTAACATCAAAGCAATTTTGATTTGTTACAACAGCTTCAGATCATGACAGGCTTGAGGTTTGTTACACCATTTGCCAGACAAATCTCTACAAAATGTGTATCGATTCCCAAACTAAGCAATTGATCATATCAGTATTTGCAGTTTCCACACAATGTTTCATAATACTATTCTATGTTTATATAAAGAAACTCAAATAATCCACAAATTGTTATTAAAACACTCCCACTTCAAGAATTCACAGCAATAACAGTACGAGTTCAGAAGCAAACAAACATTGCGCCAGATTTCGTATGAAACGCGCCATCGTCCTGAAGTTTCTACCACAGACGGTAGTTCAACCGCAGCCGTAGTGCAAAAACCCCTGCCCACCTTACCCCACGGCGGAGCTCGGTTGCAATTTGTAAATACGCGCACAGGTATATGAAAAATCGCAGTGACGTTGCACTTTCCTCGCTTCTCATTGGTCAATAGCCCGTTGCCGGGGCAACCAGCACGTATGTGAGCGCCGGCAAGAGTACTAGCCGGCCGCCGATCAGGGCCCTGTTTCACGGCGGAGCGCTGCAGTGCGCTGCGCGCGTCGGCGCGTTGGGTTTCCATGGCAATATCAACAAACCTCCCTCTGACGCTACGCTATGATGTCATCGCAAAACGCCAGCACCCAAGCGCCAGCACCATCAGCACGCTAGCAGCATTCGCACTCAAACCTCTGTTCTCTCTGTACTGGGTTCTTTTGGACCTCTGTTCCAAACGCGATTCATCAAAAGCTAACGGATCGCACGCAACGTCATTCGAGTGACGTCAGGGGTACGCCTCAGCTCCCAGCGCGCTGCAGCGCGCGCAGCGTCGGGCGGTGAAACAGGGCCCAGGGCACGTGCGCTGAAATTTTCGGCGCAATCCCGCGACTACGCCGGACATATTCGGTATAACGTGTATTTTTTCCAGTCTGTACCGGTACTGGTGGAATCGGAGCATCATGTTCGACATCCCTGCCCTTTACTAAGGTCTACAGCCTTTCTTTCCGATACCTGTCACTCAGCACGAGCAGGACCCATTAACTGTATATAGGTACGGCTCTCGCGAGATTAAGCGGTAGGTTTTGCATTTTTACATTTCCGGTTATATCTCAGAAACTAATCGATCTACGATGAAGCCATTTTGCACGATCATGGCCGGCTTGTGAACCAACAATGAAGTCGATCGCATCTTTAACACTTAAAAGCTTAAGACAACGAAGATATAGCCTGAAGTACACTAAATTTTCTAGGTGCAAAACCTACCGCTAAAATCCGCGAGACCTATACTTAATCAAGGATATGAAGCATAGGTATTGTCATTTTAATAGCCTCTAGCATATCATGACTCTGGAGTTGGCCGGACCGTGTCCAGCAGTTTGGCCCCACAATGCCCAATCATGCTAGAACTTAACCTGCATGGAAAGGATGAGCACGTTGCTAATGACCAGAGTAAGCTGATGTTATCCAATTTTAAGGTCATTGGTCATTGGTTGATCTTCCAGCTCAGATCATTGGCCCAAATGTTGGGAAAATCGGGACCTGCCAGAACATATGGAGGCAAGGATATTATTTTATAATAATCGTGACCTGAAATTTGCATTTCTTTTCAACTAACATGATGTTTTCATGCATATTGGGTAAATTGAGTCAGGTCAGGTATGGTCAACCAATAGGGAGTAGGAGTCATGCTGGCTATCTGTAATAGGTTTGCCCAATGTTACTTTGTTCATAGGTGTACCATGAACGTTTGTTAATAGGTGTATCACAAAAGTTTGGAAACACATAGAAAATGTGTGCTGGTGTGCCAAATTAATTGCTGTTCAGGCCTGCCATGTTAAATGTATGCTGGTGTGCCAAATTGGCCTGCGGCATGTTTTTCAGGAACTGGTGAAGGGCATTCAGTCCATGGATCAGCGACATGAAATTTTCATAGTATGAGTGAAATTGATCAACTCAAGTATGCTGAAAGCTTTGTTGTGATCGGCTGCATTGACGCGAGTTGGTTTCGAAAAACCGAGGGCGTTCTTTTCGACCCCCTGTGAGTGCCAAGGCTAAAATAATTGCCTAATCTTCACAATGTGGTTTCATCAGACTACAAGTACCTATTAAGTCTAACCAATACTAAAATGATACAATTTGGCATTGGCTCTCCAGCACACTTCGAGGCACAATTCATGGTCACGTAGTCGGGCTGTAAAAGGCTAACCCGCCCCTCCCGCGATGTCTCACTATATCGGACCGCCGCCACTGGCCCATTCAATTCAATGTACCTTGCCACTGGCCACGTCCCAGTCGTCTAGTTTCCGTGGGATAAGCGATCTCTAGTTGGCGTGTATCGCCACGTAAAGCGGCAGCACCGTTCACAGGAGTTGCAGGTGGCGCTAGCAGTGCGGCAGGGTGCCGGATCTGCGACGCGGACAACCCCAGTGCAGTGGTGGCATGTTTTATATACCTTGGTTGTCGGCACATGCCGGCTGAATTCTCGATCTGTCCGCTGGACTGGGCTCCTAAGTGCCTTCTCACTGCCTTTTGCCGACAGCCTACTTGACACCTGCATCGATCGTCAGAGTTTACTTTTCTCGTGGTCAAAATGCCAGGACCTACACTGTTTCTGAAGGAGTCTTTTGGTGGCGTCTTCCTCACCTTCCTTGGGGATCCTGTTGGGAACATTCTAGGTCGTAGACGACGCTGTGTGCGGACTCTGCTGTTATGATTTTGAAGCCATTTCGTTTTTTAATGCACATTACACAGTCAACTCAGTTCAGCCACCATTCTCGCTTTTGAAATCTAGCTTCGAGTTCGGAACATATTTTGACCATCGTTTTTTATGCTTCGTGTCGTGATATTGACTTCTAACAAACGCTTTGGTACTTTCAGAAATATCAGGTAACTGTTTGAAAGAACAGCGGCGTCGTCTCTTCAACGCACCATGACTTTGGCGGTGATTGTAGCGGCACTTCTGCTGGTAACGGCAGTATCGGCAAAGGAGCCAACTCCAGTCGTCATGTGGCACGGCATGGGTGAGCTCTCTGATTAATCACAGTTTCTCGCACTCAGTTCTAACGTAGATTGTATTTATGCTCCCGAGCGCACTATACAAGCACCGTTCTACGGTTCACCCATAAAATGACAATTGACAAGATGAAAGTGTGGGTTTTGATTTTGATCTTCAGATTATCTTGATTTGATTACTGTTATATTGCTGAAAGAAATGCATGCCTTAGGACCATTTTTGAGAGCTTTTGCGTGGCACTCATCGAGCCTTACAATTTTTTGTTGAGATCAGCAGGAGAGAATGTATCCATTCACCGTTATTAGAACACGTTCAGCAAGACATCCCTGATTCCATATGGTTGAGAATTAATGCTTCTAGCTACATTTGTGCTGCAGCTGGTTTTGACGTGTCCATATTTGTTTGTGCATAATGTCAATGTTTTGTTTGTTTTCATCTCTAGGAGACTCCTGCTGCCTTCCATTCAGCATGGGTGCCATCAAGGAGGAATTGGAAAAGCAGGTAGCTGGCGTGTATGTGCGCTCACTGGAAATCGGCTCCAGTGTTATCCAAGTGAGTCTCAGATATTTTTATTTATTGAGCTGTTGAGGGTAGTGATGCCACTCACGACATTTTCGCCACAGTTGATTCAGTGCAGCTGTATAGCGGAATCATGGTATTTAGGGAACCATAAAAAGTTACGTCCGATATAGATAATTATGACAGCTAAATATGGCACCTCATGAGAAATTATCTCCTCAGGATACCCTGAACGGCTTTTTCATGCCGATCGACGCTCAAGTGGAGGAGGCCTGTCAGAAGATCGCTGCTGATGAGAGCCTCCAGGGCGGATACAACGCCATGGGCTTCTCCCAGGGAGGACAGTTTCTGTGAGTCCAGTAGAGAGCAGAGAAAAACTGTTACTGTGGCTACGATCAGAGGATCAGTAGGCTAGGACGTGTAGTGTATATATCAACAACAGCAGGTTTTGAAGTAAAGCCAGTTTGCAATGGGGCGAAGTAATAGTAAGTGCTAAGCGCTAAGTGGACTTTGTTTTGCACTATGCAGATCCTGACTCATTTAGATTATGCAGCGCACTTCGAGAACCTCTAAAATACCGGTTGTGTGTTTGTGTGTGTGGGGGGGGGGGGGGGGGAGAGGGAGTGGAGCGAATGCCGGATATTTTAATAACTACCCAGCCCAGAGGGATTTGGCTATACAACAAAGCTGCGCTTCTGGTTAAATTGAATTTTGATTTGTGTACTTGTGTATTAGAAATGAATTGACTGTTGCCCACGCCCTGTCTCCCGTGTCATTGACCTGTCGTATGCCCTGTCAGGCGGGCAGTGGCGCAGCGGTGTCCCAGCCCGCCGATGAAGAACCTCATCACGTTCGGTGGCCAGCACCAGGGCGTGTTCGGACTACCGCACTGCCTCGGCACCAAAGGCGTGTGCGAGGTCGTCAAGAAGCTGCTTGACTACGGAGCATACGAAAGGTAATCTCTAATCACAATTGTGTAATACCCTACATGTATCTGCAGTTGATTTACTCTCACCCGTCTTTTTCTCTATCTTTAAGACACTTCACTCACTGTGCAGGTGTGCACTGCACGTCGTTTTCACCGCGGTACGCTCATATAATTAATCTGACCTTTCTCTCTCCGTTCTGCACCTGATTTTCAGTTTCGTGCAGTCTCATCTGGTGCAGGCCCAGTACTGGCACGACCCCCTCAAACAGCAGCAGTATATCGAGGTGTCCCAGTTCCTCGCCGACATCAACAACGAACGGGTGAGCTGAATCTGCTGTCGTTTGAGATATTGTGTGTCACAATTTATACAACCAGCACTTGGGAACTGTTCCGCAGTAAAATAAGTGGGCTTAACCGCTTGGCAAATATTAGAAATGATGGCGGGAAAGTATAATTCTTCATATGTTGATAAAAATAAAAGGGTGTATCAGTGATCAGATGGGTTCTACCCATACCTCATTACAAGGAATCTCGTGCTTTTTTGCGTAGTCGTTCGAGCTTTCCGTGGCGTACCTATTCAAAGGCATTCTCTAATTCCGTGACCTTTCCTCACAGGATGTGAAGAACGAGACGTACAAGGAGAACCTGAACAAGCTGGAGAACCTGGTGCTGGTGATGTTCTCCAACGACACGATGGTGGTGCCGCGCGAGTCCTCCCACTTTGGCTTCTACACTATTGGCCAGGACCAGGTGGTGGTGCCGCTGCAGCAGACTCCGATCTACACTGAGGTGAGTGTACCGGGCCGCTGCCAGGGTTGAACGTTACTCCGCTCAGCTGCCGTCTTTACAGTCAGACCAGTAATTAAGAACCGATCTTTATGATGAAACTTTTCCTCTAGCGGCTTATGGCCTATGATGAAAACTTTACTGGTGCCCTGATGTGATAATCGTTATTCAGTTTGGCAGCTGCACAGCGGGGTCTAAGGACGGTCGAGATGTAGCTTAGTGGTGCTTCCCAGGCCTCAACTATCATCACGCCTCTTCTCTTAATCACCTGTGTCCCAGTCTGTCGGCACTCACCAGTCCCCTCAACTCATCACCAGTCCTGCTTTCTTTCTCACCTCACCCGTCCTACCCCCTGACTGAGTCATCTGACCTCTGACGGAACCACCACCGACAGGACTACTTGGGCCTGAAGCAGCTGGACGCGGACGGCAAGCTGACGATGCTGGAGACGGAGGGGGACCATCTGCAGTTCAGCATCGACTGGCTGGTGGAGAACATCGTCAACGTGTATCTCAAGTAGGAGGTGCGACTCTGCGTGACAACTCTGCGTGCTCTTAGGGGTGGGGATAGACCGTCTTGCCGTGCTGGGGTCGGGTCGTCTAGTCTAGCTTGAGACGGGTTAGAGTTTCAAGTCCCGGCTACGATCTTTGCGAGTGATAAAGTGCCTATACTTGTCCTTCGGACACATGCCCATTCTGTTGGACACATACTGGCCCGTGGCCGCCAGCCCATGGCGGCGTGCGCCGGCCGCAGCCACCAGAGGACTCTGCCAGCGATTGGAGGCGTTCTTGGGGTTTGCTGAGAAACGACGAGCTTTTTATATACTCACCGATTAGCAGTTATATTCTCACCGATGAGCAGTCACATTATAGGTACACTGCCGAGTCTTTGGCATCAAATGTTTTATATGCACTGGCAAACGCAAGAAAGACTGGATTTAAACTCAACCGTTTTTAGTTCACGTGTCTGCATGCATTATTTCCATATTGCTTTTGTGCAAGAGTCCGGGAGGACTGCTCCCAAGGCTAGTTACACAAACATTCCACTCCAGCTGTTGTTTAGGACATTGGTCCTAACTATCTGCAGTAAACGGAATGCGTGCAAAATGATTCGAGGTGCTTTATTTCTACTCTTTTTGACGTTTCTCTATGCTGCAACGCAGTTATCTGTGATTCATTTTTTATGCATGCCCTTACAATTTGTTAGTTGTAGTAGTTACTAGTTGCTCCTGTTGTGCGCAAGTCTGGAATTTTTTTGCTGATGAGTTGAAATGCAAATTATGATTAAGACATATAAACCAATATTATTCTATCTTTGCATATCTTTTCTCTCTTAGACCACCCCTGTGTGCCAAGTGGCGCTTCAAACTCTGTCTCACCCCGGCAGTTAGCCTCTGAAATGGAGTCACCGAGACGGTGTCAGTCAGTTTGTGTGCCGGATAAGACTGGGCTAGCTTTGTGTAAATTCGATGGCATTTTTATGGTCTAGATAGTTGGGACTTGGGAGTACTCGAGAGCGGAGCTCATGTGGAGGAGACAACTGTGGCGCGCTTTTGGGGTGGGTTGCTGGTTTCCTCTTGGCGCTGAGCATAATCAAGGGAAGTCACATGCGATTGGGAGCTGCTGGGCATCACCGATCCTGAGCTTCATTGCTCTGCGAGCTCCGGGTGGTTGCGGAGAGGGGTGCCTGGAGAACCTGCTTTTAGCTAAGGTCTAAGGTCGGGGACATTTGGCCGCTACAGTAGCGTCATCTGGTATTGCGGTCAGCATGCTCGAGGGATGTAGGGTGCGGGCACGACTGCCCAGCATTGGTTCAATATCCCCTGCTGTTGCGCGTTGACAGCAACGTATGCGGAGTCGATCTCAGCACGATCGAGACCGAGTAGCTCATCCGCTGTCGTATCCGGTATCATACTCGTACTTGTGGGAGCGAGCATCTCACTGTGTGAGAAAAGACGGCTGAGGCGACCACCAGCCTGCCACCTAGTCAGTCGATTGGGCTATGGATATCCGCGGACCGCGACTGCCCGTGATATGCTCCGCGGGGTATCCTGAATGATGACTGACGATTGAAGGCAGATCATACTCGTGTTGAAGAATGGTACGTACGTATGCGAAGGGTCAACACCTGCCTTATGGCCTCGAGTAGGCCGGATGACCCTCACTGCAATCATCTGAGCGCTTAAGGCCGGCGAATTCGCCAACTTTCTGCTGTGCGGCGGTGATAGCCGACTTCCCACCACGGCCGCGCGGAACACTGCAGCTAGGTACATACCCCAGCTGGCGGGGAGCCCGGCGCGGAGCCTCGCCACACTGGTCAGTCGTACCTTTCCAAACATGGCCGAGCGATATTGAGGCGAGGATCAGCTGTGAGCTGAACGGTAGCGCAACCCCCTCGCAATGCCGCGAAATGCAACCATGGATCGAACGAGCGTCGACTTTTCTGTTCGGCGAGAGCGTCGCCTACGAGCGTGCTAACGTTAAAAAATCGAGAGCTAATGGCATAATGGTAAGGTAGGATAGTTTGTTGTGGATGTCTATGTAAAACATGGTGTCCATGGTGTAGCTTGTATTAAGGGATGTATTCTTGGGTGTGTATGCTCAAAAAGGTCTATTTTATTGCATTGCATGCAAATATATATTTAATGAATATCGCTTTTTGGTGTTTCAAGCAGCATTTCCTTTATGCTAGACACACAGGTTATCCTCGCGGGTGCTAGCCGCTAGGGGTAGAACAATTAATGCCTTCCTCTTTCCTAGGACAGCCAGAAAAGAAATTGAAATAGTGCCACCAAACGTGCGCATCTCCCTCATGAACGACTCGTCACTCGCCACCGAGCTGGCACGTCTCTGCTGTCCCCTGGACTGCGCCGTCCGCATCGCCACCAACACTGGCGCTGCCTAACGGTCTCGCTAGGCATACTAGCCCTATCAGTCACCACTTCCGCTCGTTTTCCATAGTGTAAAGTGCAAGATATACTACGTTTGGAGAAATATGAGGATGTATGCACCCATAACCCATCAATGCTAATGATGTTGACAATCAATAGTGATAAAAGGACATTTTCTCTGTGAAAGATCATTATGCTTAGCTCTGCTCAGCTAGGCACAACCGTTCACCTGAAATCAAATTAGACGACAGCATAGATATGACTTGAAGATATCCAAGTGGGTTTTTTACGCCTTAGCATGCGTAAAAAAGTATATTTCGGTCACCTTGTAGGTCAGATGAAAGGTCAGATCACCAGAGGTCATCAAATGTCACATTTCGCTCACTTTTTAACCCGCACCCCACTGGGGTCCTGGATTTCCACGCCCTGCTGGGGGGGGGGGGAACTCCCCCTTCTACCTCAGCTCCAGGGCCACGTAGCGATACGAGGAAGGCGGCGTTCGAAAGAGCGCCAAAAATAATGACGAAGTCACCTCGGTCACTTTTTTGGTCAGGTCAAAGGTAAGGTCACCAGAGGTCATTAAAGGCAAAATTTCGCCGATTTTCAGGTGGAATGCCGACAATTTCCAAGAAGCCAACGCATAACTCGGGAACCAATAGAGTTACAGCGCCTCGGAAAAGCGCATTCGGTAGCCCTATTAACCCGCCCTCCGAAGGGGGGGGGGGCACGAAACGGCCCCCTGTCCTTTTCCGTGAATATCTCCTAAACGGCAGCAAATATCGCCACTAAACTTTCAGGACCCCTCCGGGCATCCATTTTACACATTGTGACCAAAAAATTCTAGAGGCTATGATAGGTTGGCCTCAAATGACGTCAGAATGACGTCATGTTCTGCCATTTTCGACCGGAAAAAAAGCTTCGCAAGAAGAGCTGTCAGGCCTACAGCTTTGAAGATACAGAAAAATGACCAAGACATAAAAGGTGTAGAATTGCCAGGGCTACAAAACTGCCATCTCGGATTTTTGAAATTTTTGAATTTTGACCCCCAAAAATCAAGAGTAATTTTTTGGAGATGTTAGCCAAAAAATCCAAAAAGTTTTTTGATTTTCGAAAAAAACGGAATATATATGATAGTAACTACCGTCTTCTATCTACATACCGAATGTCAGATCGATATCTTTTTTTTGGTTAAGTTATAGCGAAAAAACTTAAAAATGATGACGTCAAATTTCTCACTAAATTTTTGGCAATTCTAGACCACGTAGGGCAAAACAAAGACCACCATTATACTCCCCGTGACGAGCTGCATCGAATCGATACCCATTTTAAACAAAAATATCTATTTTGAAATTTGACCTAATTTGACCTGACCTTGACCTGACCTTCACCAGAACGTAACCTAAGTTGGCCCCAAAGGCTGCCTGAACCACGTAATCGCATTTGTCATGTAAAATGGACCATAAAACATGCATCACACGACACTTTCATATTGTGACCCCCAGTGACCTGACCTCTGTGACCTGACCTGCTATCAGTGTCCTCAGATAGCAAAGTATGTGTTTGACGAACAATGTACCATCAATGATTTTCAATAAATTACTAATTTGCTTGATTTCACAACACATTTCTTGAAATGCTTGTAAACGGTGAAAATCCGACTTTTTACCTGATCTGTGACGTCATCGGTTTGACCTAGGTCAATGAAATTCGGTCACAAGGTAGTTTCCCGTTGGGGCTATCGAGCACCGTTTGAATTTTGAAAATCGGCCGCTAAATTTCCGAGATCTTAGGGGGGGGGGCGAAACGCCCCCCCCCCCCCTCCCTACGGGTGGTAGGGTACGCCGATAGCCCTACGGGGCGCGGGTTAACCCGGCAGGCGGTGGGCCTACCAGCCACCTTCCGCGCGGTGGGGGGGGGGGCACTTTTTTGCCCCCCCCCCCCGTATCTCCGAAACTACTGGACGGATCCGGAAAATTCAAACGGCGTTCGATAGCCCTGTCAAATTTGTCGAGGGAAACCAAATTTCATTGACCTCGGGGTCACCGATGACGTCACAGGTCAGGTCAAAGATAAAATGTTTCACCGTTCACGGGGCTTCTAGGGAAAGCGCTATAACACCGAGTAAAACGCATTTTGTCGAAAATCAGCGATAAGGCGTCAGTTGTCTAGTACATATGTTGCTATTAGAGGTCACTGGTCATACCAGGTCAGGTCACAGGTCAGGTCACCAAAGGTCACCAAGGGTCACCACATGAGCCCAACTTTACTAAGGTTATGCGATGCATGTTTTATGGCCAGTTTTTCATTTCCAACTCAATGGTGTTGGTTATAAGACCATCAGGTACGGTTTAGGTCACTTTCTGGTGGAGGTCAGGTCAAGGTCAGGTCAAAAAAGGTCAAATTTCAAAGTTGATATTTTTGCATAAAATGGGTATCGATTCGATGCAGCTCGTCACGGGGAGTCTAATGGTGGTCTTTGTTTTGCGCTACGAGGTCTAGAATTGCTAAAAATTGAGTTTGAAAATTTGACGTCATCAATTTTGAACAGTTTTTTCGCTATAACTTGGCCAAAAAGAGAGGTATCGATCTCAAATTTGGTATGTAGATAGAAGGCGGTAGGGGATATCACATATATTCCGGTTTTTTCGAAATTCAAAAAACTTTTTGGATTTTTAGGCTATTGTATTCAAAAAATCTATTTTTTGATTTTTGGGGGTCAAAATCCAAAAAATTCGAAAAACCGAAATAGCAGTTTTGTAGCCCTCTAAATTCCACACCTTTTATGTCTGTAACATTTTTCTGTATCTCTAAAGCTGTAGGCTTGACAGCTCTTCCCGCGAATCCTTTTTTTGGGTCAAAAATGGCAAAAATGACGTCACTCTGACGTCAATAGCGGCCAACCTATCATAGCCTTTGGAAAAATTTTTGGTCACCATGTGCGCTAGCTGCTCCCGGGAGGGTACTGAAAGTTTGGTGACGATCGGCGCAGCGGTTCTCGAGATATATCGAAAAAACTAAAGGGGGGGCAAAAAAATGCCCCCCCCACCGCCTGGAAGGTTAACGTTCTTTCTTAATATATCTCTCAGATTTGGCCTGATGTCAACGGTTTTACCTGCAGTGGGCAAAAACTGTCAAAATAACCATTTTTTTTAAATTTTTTCTGCAATAACTTTTCTTTTGATTTGATTGAAATTTGGTACATATTCGTTTTGGCTCTTTCTGAACCGAGCGACATCGCTTTCATGCTAATTCATTAACTTTTTTGAAGGTGGGAACAAGGGGTGGGAAGGTCCCTTTAACGCGAGGGTACTGAAAGTGTCGTTGCGATCGGCCGCTCTTTACGCGAGCTATTCGCGAAAAACTGAGGGGGGGGGCGGTCTGTTCGACCCCCCCCTAAATTGGCGAGGCTTAAAAGTTATTTACGGTCAACAGCACGAGGGAGTGTTAAACCCCCCCCCCCCCTGGCCCGGCGCGGGCTATGTATAACATTTTCCAAAAGAGACATAATTTATATCATCCCATAGGCGTACCAACGGGGGGGGGGGCAGGCCCCCACTTTTCGACCATTTTTTTAAGTGAACTATTTATTTTTATTTAAGTACAAAACTAAGAGCAGGAAATTGCTCGGCAAGGTGAGATGAGCACAAAACTGCAAAAAATTCTCCATAGGGGTATTGGGGTTCCCAAAAAGTGACATTGAAGTTTCGCTGCCCCCCCCCCCCCCCCACACACACACACTTTTAGTGAGGTTCCTATGCCCATGCATTTGCTTATTATGGAGAGGTCGCAAAATTGACCTGGTTTAGGTCACATTAAAATATGAGGAATATGTTTCCCTCATACCTAAGTGAATACTCATCACATTTATCGTTCGTTGAACGTTTCAGAGCCAGCATTCAATAGGTGAAGCTACTTTGGTGTATGTCTACCAGCATAAACCGTTCTTGAGGTTAGGTCACTTGACGTGGTCTGGTGACCTGACCTTAGATGATCCAGGTCTGAACTTTTCACATGAGCTGGAAAAGATGTCCGATAAGGTGTGCCAAAAACGGTGGCGCGTAGCTCCACCGTTTGTTTATCAGCTATCCACGGAATACCTTGGGGGAGGAGGAAAGTGCACCCCCGCTGCGGCGCACGCCAAATTTATGGGGCTCGAATTACTACGTAAACCAAGGTCACCAACACTCCTGACTATGTAGTGTTTAAGACTACACACACCGGAGGAGCTCAGCAGGTCCCCTCTCGCGCTCCCGTCGCCACCGACGATACCCTCCCCGTCGGACGGCCGCGGCCTACTGTCGTGACCGACAAACGCCGAAGGCGGCGGGGCCGCGCGCGCTCGACGGTCACGTGGTGGGGTCGGCAGCGCGTCGGCGCGGCGCCGGATATAATGGAGCGCCGGCCGTCGGCGGCGGCAGTTGACGGCGAGTCAGTCGGTGGCGGTGGATCGCGGGTGTACGAGGCGGACAGAGAGCAGCACCATGGCAGGCTGGGGATACGGCTCGAAGAACGGTAGGCAGCGGCAGCACTGGCTCTACCATTACCCCTATTAGTGTTATATTGGCCAGCTCTGCGCGACCTAATGCAAAGTGCTTCGTAACCCAATAGCTTGGTAGTGTCGGGAGATTTGTAGGCTGTAGCGCATGATCAGATGTTTCGAAGCGTTACGGCTGGCTGTGATAAGCAGGATGAGATGCCTATTTATCAAACAAATGTGATGAGATAAGCTGTAACGACGCAACGGCTCACTTACTGAATTCTGAACAGGTTCTCATTATCATGCACGCTCGTTAAACATGCTATGAAATTTAGTAGGCATTAGGTACCTACATATAGGTAATTGGCGTACCCTACATTGCATCAGACATTTGAACTTTTATACTGCACAAAAGTCACCGTTATGTAAAGCGATGTGGAGCCATCATCCGTGTGTGTACGGTGTAAGAGCGTTACACTGGAGGTCCGCCTTCTGGATGGTGACAAAATTTAGGGATCCGCTGGAGCAGGGAGCTCCTCTTGGCATATAGAGATCGCGTTTCCAGTGAACAGAGCGGTAGATTAAACGTATCAATGGAAATCATTTAAAGGCCAATCTTGAATTAGGTCATGCTTATCAGGCTCGACCCTTTCAGTATGAATTATATCTCCCACACCTCAGCGATTTTTAGTGACGGCAGTAAACGTTGCAAAAAATGGCATTTCGATTCGTCTCGGGGTGATATAATCTGAAGGTTTCATCTGAAGTGTCTCTTGGAATGGACTCCAGCCGTCGGTTCGGGCACGCGTCGGACGTGTGTCCGTGCGGATGTGCTCCTCCATCCATAAACCCACCAATCTGCGCCCGTGCGCACGCCTTCATCCATAAATCAGGGCAGTTAGGCAGTTCGGCACCCCGCCGCACCGGTTCATCTCCTCGGGCGACGATATGCTCTTGAGGCTCGATAGAGTAAATGAGAAGGGCTTCTCGGGTGCTCCTGTGACTGGTTGGGCTCCTCAGGTGTTCCCAGTAGGTGAGGCGGATTCATAAGGTGTTCCACAGGCTAAGGTGAGCTCCTTGGGCGTTCCCAGAAACCACAAGTGACCCGTTGTTGACTGATAACGCAGGCTTTTGGTGTCTTAGTTGAGATTCCTTCAAATTGGTTGCCCAATGCCCATTCGCCCATAAAATCGTGCCACTGCCGCCTGCCGTTTACTTCTCTGCAAATAGACGTTTATCAGACAATTGGCCGAGGGATCAGATTGTGCGCGGATGCAACGGCTAACGTGTTTAAAGTGGCAGCTAATGCTGTTCCCTACTTTGCAAGGCGAATACTAGACTTATAGTATCGTGGCAAAAAGAAGCATGAAAGAGCTATCTGAATGCGTCATGTCATCATTGCTGAAAAAAAATATTTCCAAATATCCAGAGTCTTAGTAGACATTGATTTATGCTGATGTGATATTCCTGACATAGGAGCAGTACGTTCGCTGCCTCACTGATTGACATAATCAATCATCTGTCCAATTCTGACGATCTGACCTGCCTCTGCCCGCCCGCCGCAGCGGCGAGCGCTAGTGGGTTTCGGCACCGTGTTGTGGTCTGCCGAAGTTATATTGGTCCGCAACGCTACTGCATTGGGGCGGCACCGTATCCCACTTACTGGGGCGAGGTGACATGTCGAAACCACCGGCACGAGGCGTGGAAAGGCCGTGACTCGGTGCGAGCACGGACCAGCTAGACCGTAACCGTGACCAAGACCAGAGACCAGACGCTGTTCGTGCGCGGACCAGACCGTGACCAGACCGAGACCAGAGACCATAGACCAGACCGTGACGGAGACCAGAGACCAGGCTCTGTTCGTGACGGGGATAAACCGTGCTCGGCTTGAGACAGAGCGTGGCTGAGTGATGACACTGACAGACCTGAAGTCCCGTTTCGATGGTCTAGGTGTGTTCCTTGTTGTGGTGTCGGTCCTGCAGTTCCACCACCGCACCGGTGGTGGAAAATGGTGCTTCATGGGTCAACGCATGCCCGTAAAGTCAGCCTGTTTACTGTCGCAACCAGCGTAACGGGGTCGTTATTGACTCGAGCAAGGCATTACTCATCCGCCGGAACCAATAATGCGTAACGGTCTTGGCCAACTCGCTTTCACAAGAATGCGTCATTACGTATCAGGCGCTTTTACTTTTGGATATTAGGGGGTCCTAAGTCCTAACTATTGATTTAGGGGAGCACTTGCATTCAGCATGTGCACTGTGCAATGTGCATGCACTGAAATGTACCTATGCCTAATGCTCGTTACCACACATTATGTCAAGAAATGCTTAAACGTCTCATATGACAATTGAACAATTGAATTTAGTTTTAAAATTTTGATCGAAACTTCGAATAACTGATTTCAACCCTTGACAGTTGACAGTCGCATATCCAGAACTAGTTAATCGCAGCTCATGGCCAGCGCTTGATTAAATTGCAGGATTTTTATTTTACCGCAAACTCTAATGTCGATGTTTGATCGATTCAACCCTCTTTTAGTATGAAGGCTTCCTTGTACCACATTTGTGGCCCAGGGGGTGACTATTGCCTGCTGATTATACATTTAACCCTCGCCGGACCTATTGGTTTTCTACATACGCGCCGGCCGAGGGGGGGGGGGGGCGCGGGTACGACCCCCCCTCGCCGTTTCGCCCCTGGTGGAGCTAGCGCGTCGCGGAAAAAACGAGCGTGTGCGCCGTTACGAGACGCAGAGATTGGTACCCGATTTTAAGGTCCTAGGTCAACCGGTGACCTCTGAGGTCAGGTCAAGTGCCCCAAGGTACGGTTCAGTTTTTGGTGAATAACTTCGCAAAAAACGGCCGCAGAGCCGCGATTTTGGCAGCATCGTGTTCGCCTCGCTCAGGCGCGTCGAATGATATACTTTTTGTTCGGGTCAGGTCAACTTGGGGTGTTGACCTCAGGTCAAGGTCAGGTCAGCACCCCAAGGTCACGAAGTTGATCGAAAGAGGTTATGTCGCATATCATTCGATTCGGCAGGTCTTCCTGAGTCCATTGGTGGCTTCCCCGACTCGCTAGCTCAATTTGATCAGGAGTTATTGACGAAAAACTAATATGACCTTGATGACGTCATAAATGACGTCACACAAGGTCAACATTGCAAAAGTGACGCATCTAACCTTGCAAGGAGTGCATCAAATCACGATTCTGTGTGCTTGAGATAGTTGGAGATCATTCCCGGCGCCAGAATAACAGTTTTCATTTTTCCCCATTGACTTATAATGGTGAGGTCACGAAAATGACCTGACCTCATATGACCTTTAGGAAAAATCCGAGATATACAAGTTGTGAGACTCATAATGGATACTAGATCCTGCAAGTTTCATTTCCCTGTGACATCTCCTCTGGCAGTGAGGGCGTTGCGAAGTTGCGACATCTGAAGACCGTGCAGAGGTTCACTTATGACGTCATAGGTCAGTGACCTGACCTGACCCAAAAGTGCGGTTGGTGTCAAAAGATGCGGCTTGGATCAAAGGTCAGGTATGCCAAGTTTCAGCTCTGTATCGCCAGCGTGTTTGGAGCTATCGCGAAAAAACCCTATGGGGGGGGGGGGCGGCACCCCCCCTCGGCCGGCGAGGGTTAAGCCTTGCTCTACAAATTATGTGAAGGTAAATGTGTCCTTGATTTAATACGGTACCGTTGGTCCGTTGCCCACTGCTCGAACCTCGAACACGGCAGTGACCAGTCACCTGCAGTTGCCGTTTTCCTTCCCCGGTCTGGTTTCTGTCGACCCGTTGTATCGCATGAAGCATCAGTGGGAACCGCTACAAGCCAGGACAAATTCTTTTGTCAGGAAGAATCTGCGACCGGTCGTCCTTACCATTACTCACGCAAGACTTCACTGCTTTTCCAGCTCATTGACAGTTCATAACGATCCGCTATCCTCAAGGGCGATCTTATAAGGAGGATATGTAGGCCTGTCCAGTTATCAGCTTCGCTAATGAGCTCATTGCCCATAACAATTGACCTGTCACTCGGTGTAACTGCCTCGGGATAGGTTTTTAGCAATATCACCTTTGCAGCGGGCTGTTGCATCGCGCCTGCTTACCTACCGATATCGACTGTCTAAGATCCATCACAAAAGTACACTAATGCAATGCAAAGCTGGATGCCTGCACGTGAAGCCAGTCATTCTCAAGTCCAAAATCAGAGTCTAACCCAAACGGCGGCAGGGTCAAGGGTAGGGCTAATGCCTGGTTTGACTGTTTTGTTGCAAAGGTAGTGCGTGACACCGTAGGGCGGCACTCTGTCGAAGAGCTACACAAACAGTGTTTTACCTTATGCTGCGTCAGAAGTAATACCCGACATTGATTCTTGAAATGTTGTTTAGCTGCTGTCGATCCGACGCAATTAAAATAAATGGCGTTTATCGTGCCGCTCATGTGATGTGATTGATAAGACTTCACTTGTGGGTCGGATAACCACGGTTGAATGTCGGTCCCGCCCGTCCTCCGTGTCCTGGGGTGGGGTGAGCGCAGCGCATGCAATCACTATTTTTGACGAGTACATGAAGAGGCCATCCTGTTGAAGGCCGTTAGATGACCTGTTGAAACTGGGAGTACCGGCACTTGACTGTCAGGAGTGTCAACTTCAGCGAGGCCAGGCTGTTGCACAACCGTGAAGCGATAAAAGCTCAACAGCTCAGCAGGCAGTGAATTCAGCGAAACTTACGAGTATAATGCACCGGCGTAACTATTTCGAGATATTTACTAAGATAACTGTAACAGCCACTGCCAAGACCCGCTGGCTAGACTTAGTTCGTTCTGTTTTCTCCTGCCAGTCTATTTGGCCGTCGGGCGGATCACCAAAAGAATGACTGCTGGACAACGCATATGGAAATATTTTAAGCCGGGACTTAAACGTCAACTCAGTCGCGATCGAAACATAGATTATCCGAGATATCGTGGGCATCAGCACAGTTCATGGTATCGTGCCTGTCGGGCCATCAAGGTCATGGTGCACTTACCTACACAGGATGGAACTTCGCCGAGCCAATAATGCCGAAATACTGAGCCTCCGGCATGGCTAAAACGCATTTGTTTGGTATGAGCAACAGTATGCTGGACAGTCCGATCCACTGTATGTAATGCGATTAATGTCAGGGCATAATGCCAGTGTAAATGATATTGATACCATATATTCATTATATTTTTTTTATAATTTGTTAATTTGATAACCAATCCATACTTCAAACGGCATTCATCGGAGTTATCTCGACTGCCTACCCTGTGCAAACGTCTGAGGCCCTGTCCGCCGGTGTTGCTTGCTCGGAACTACCTGACCCTTCCTTGAAGTCTCCTCCAGTCCAGTGATTGTGTGCCATAAGCTCCTCGTCCGGCCGCGTCTCACCCCGGTGACCCCTGCACCTGTGCCCTCAGGTCCGCACGCCTGGAGCAAACAGTTCCCGGTGGGTGACGGCCAGCGGCAGTCGCCAATTGACATCATCACCGCGCAGACCAAGCCAGACGAGGCGCTGGAGGCCAGCCCGCTGGAGATCAGCTACGACCCCAAGGACGAACAGGTCATCGGTAACACTGGTAAGTGCTTACAGCCGCGTGGCCCGGCCCGCCCGGGTCGGCGCCGCCCCGTCTGCCGTCTTCAATCACCGGGCGGCTGAGGGGGCCGCAGAGTCGGCCGACGTCCGACCGGGAGTGTCTAATGGAACACGATTCTCCGCCGTCAGAGATACCGCCGGCGGTACAAATTAGAAACATGGCTCAGCGTCCGTATTATCTCATCGAGTATACGCTACAATAATTAGGTTCGACAAATAGCGTCGTTTTGGATCTGCCGTTTATCTTCCGCTATGGATGGTACGGCGTCTGTATCGGTGTTTGTGTGCTGTTCCACTCATGCATATGAGTATGGGAGGGAGTCTGCAGTAATATCAGTGTCTAGATCCACGCGCCCCACACTTTGACCCACTGTGTCCCGCTCCCCCAGGTCACGGCTGGAAGGTGGACTACACGAGCGGCACCTCCTCGATCCGCGGCGGCCCGCTGGAGGGCGAGTATGCTCTGGCGCAGTACCACTGCCACTGGGGCCGAGAGGAGGACCGCGGCTCCGAGCACACCATCGACGGAAAACGGTACGCCGCAGAGGTAAGCAAACGGGGAGGAAATAGGAATGGGAGGAGAAGGAGCGGGGAGGGCAGGGAGTGGGGAGGACAGGGAGTGGGGAGGACATGGGGACAGCGAAGAATACGAGTACAGTGAGCACGGCAGGGGAAGGGGAGATGCGAGGTATAGAGATATAGGGGAGATATAAGTTAGCTATGAGAGGACGGGATATGACACGGGTCATGTTGATTGGATCATCCGCACTAGACAGTTAAAAGGCTTTTAGGTTTCCTTAAGCGACGATTATAAGCGACGATTATAGTCATCTTCTGCAGACTGGCTGAGCTTCATTCGCCTTTCACTATCTTAACAAACCATGACATGGCTATGAAGTATGCAACAACTGATGACATCATAGGGGGCGTCGGGCTACACTGCCACATCATTGTTATCTTCACACACCCATAGTAAGGTCAGCACAGCCACTCTGAAGCTGCCATTAAATCTCCGGATGAGTTGACGTTACACGGTGAACCCACGCTGAGCTTTATGGCGAACCGGTTCAGACCCGCTGTAAAACAGACGGCTGTACCGTAACGGCCCGCTGGTCTATGAGGCTTTCATGGCGGCGCTCCCGTAGAAAAGCGGTTGATTTACAGTGACTGTAGCCACGCGACCGGGCGGACCCCGGAGACTCGGTCTATGGTTAGGAACTGGAAATGTTGCTGTTGCTCTCATGTAGGGAAGCTAACAGTACTCATTTAGGTGTTTTGTCGATAATGGTGAAATCAGACCAATTTCAAATGACAAACGATGCAGGATTACCGGTCTCGAATTATCGGTCCTGGCATGCTATATGACTATTGCATGCCAGCCAGCCCAGGTTCTGATGTAATTCTGGCAGATGTAGCCGCCCGCCTCGGACGTTCCGTTCTAGTCTGAGCAGCTCTAGCTGCCAGCCTGAGATAGCCTGCCAGCCGCTCGGGCCGAATTGGGTACGGTACCGTCTATCTCCAGTCCTCTCTGACGGCCTCGGGGCCGGGCAGCGCATCCACTCGAGACTCAGCTAATGGCAGCCGCGGGCCAGGGACGCCCGTGTGGCTGTCCGCCTCGCCGGCCTCACTTCTACCGGTACCAGAACAATGGCCAGAAATGGGGCCGCCCTGTCACGCGGAACCATTGATCCCGATGCGCGGCCACATAAGGCCAGCCACATGCGGGTCAAAACAGACGCGCTTCTGCCTTCTATCCCAGGCACGTCATGGATAGAAACGCTGGATAGAGGCGATAAACCATGAGAGCGTTGTGGTTTTAGTTCAAGCCGGCGCTTTGTTGAATGTCTCACGGCTGATGCTCCTATCCCTCTATGTCTGAGAGGGAAGATGGGTTGATGGAAAATGCATAGGAATGCTGATTGCCGAGTACGTGCTCGTAATCAGATAACGTTTCCGTTTTGTTTCCCTCACGAGAGTTCTATAGCCTTGCTCAAGAGTGTTGCATGGACTATGGATGCTATCCAGTCCCTCGTCTAAAGTCTTAACATTCCAAGCTTGCTTTTTCCATGTTCCGACATGACCGGCCGGATAACTGTCATCGGAGTCACGAGCGAGGAGGTATTTTGCGCGGTTTTCGGTCGACACACACTCTGATCTTCCGACACAGTGACTCACATGTGATATGGGGCACACACCGAGCACGTCTCCCTGCGGTTACGGTGTCGGTGTGACAACTCTCCGGGACGGGACTCTTTCGAGTCCCAGCGGCCGTTCTCTGAGCCACCGAGCCAGTCATTTCCGTCCTACTCGCCACCCGACTGTCGCCACGATCATTTGGCACACTGCGGTGACGTCACGCTGCCGGTGACGTCACGATGGGGCCGCCGTGACGTCAGACCCACGCCAGGAATGGCGGAGATGAGCTTTAGTTCGGTCCGGTGAATGATGGGACAGCCGCTCCCAGCGAGCTGAGCGCGGCGGCTGGCGGCGGTCGAGCCATTAGGTCTGAGTCGGCAGACAGGCTGCTGGGGACAGGTGGCCAGCTGCTGGAGAGAGGAGGCAAACTGCTAGAGATGAACGGAACAGGATACCGCAGTCTGTCTCGGACCCAGTAGAAAGACTGCTTGGTCGTCCGTGAATTGGGTCTAATTGCTCAGGGAAAAGCTACTGCCCAATTTCATGCAAAAGATGTAGATTCTGTGCCAAATTAAGATTTGTGTGTTTTTCCTTTACGAAACATTACCTTTTCGGAAGTCTTAAATTAGATGGATAAAAGCGTTGGTATCTGCCTACGAATTACCGTGAGCGAAGAACAGACAATTCATCTTCGTGTCTGGAAATGATTTGCATGTCAGGTGGTTTCTCACTCCATTAAAAATCAGGAGAATGTTGTTAAGTAGGTGCCGGGGCCGCATCCATTTTCTGTTCAACGCTTCGCTGTGTTTGCGAGTTGCGTGGTGAGGCATTGTGTGCGCGTATGTTTCTGTTGCTGCCGGCCGCTGCCGTCCGTCGACCACCGGGAGGTCACCCCGCGCGTCCCTATCCACCCATTGATCACGTGCTGTTTGCCACATACCTTCGTACGTGTCGCGCCGGCACTCGCGCTGCAAACTAACTAGGGTAGGGCACCTGGTGATTTACACCTACCTCACGCCTGTCCTGCACTGTGCCTCGCAGCAAAACAGAGACGCCGACCTGGGCTGGAATCCAACCCGAGGCCCGGGCTTAGGGGTTGCTGGCTCTCGACTCGATTGTAGAAATTACCTGTTCATGTTCTGAGCAGGGCACTGAAGAGTTGTTCTGACCTAACCGTTCTTTCTTTTCAGCTGCACCTTGTGCACTACAACAAGAAGTATGGCAGCTTCGCGGCGGCAGCTGACAAAAGCGACGGCTTGGCCGTCATAGGCATTTTCCTCAAGGTGAGTGAAAATCATGCTTCAAACACACCGATAATTATCTTTCTGTCCTATGTTCTGACAGATTATCTCAATTAATACCAACACACGCATTTACATACGGAATTACGACGAATCTTATGGCGGGCGATGGGACACAGCCTCCTCGGACGTTCAAGTCCTAGCTGCTGCTTGCGTCGCTGTCTAGCCCTAGCCCCGGATCCAGTCATAACCTGCAGGCACCAGCCCGACCACCGTTGTGGGTCACCCGTCCGGCCGCCCCGTGGTGGTCATGAACTGCGTCGAATTCCCGCTACTGTGGGAGAGGGTGCTGGCTGCAGGAATCAACGTTACGGTCACAAATCACGCAATGCTACAGAGCAACAACCGCGGCGCTGTGCCGTCGGGACGGTAACACCTAGGCTTATGAGCTGGAAGCACATTCTGACGAATAGGTACGGGTTCAGCCGGTGACCACATATTCCGCCGCTTATATAATCTGCTGGAGTCTCGGGACTACCTGTGGTAGTGTGGCAGCAATTGTAAAGTCAGTTTAATAACTTCTTGACGTTCATAGCCCAGCTTGTATAGAACGGAACTTTCCCGGTGATACATAACTGCAATTGTAACTGATAATTAAATGGCTAAAGCACGGCTGAAAATTCGTTAAACGTCTTGCGTTTTTACTCATCAAATTGGTTGTTGTGACAGTTGTAAATGTTGTTCAGCGGGACATGGTTTAGCCGAGATTCGCTCCCACTGCTCCACCCACTGCACGTGAGTGCACGATGCAGCCTTTCTAGCTGTCCCGGCCAAGGTCATGACACCCCTCCCCTCTAAAGCGGAGCAGTCACTTGTCGCTCTCTGATGGATGTCGGAAGCGTCACGAGGTCGGTAATGTCAGCGTATCTCATGCACCGGAGGTGCTGATCAGTGCCCGTCGGCCGTGTACCGCAGTGGTGTCAGCCCAGTTCGGACGGCGCATCATGTCAGAACGGTCTGGACTCGGCTGGGATAACGGGACCGAGACTGGGCGAGACGGAGTTCGCCTCCGCACCCTTCGCCACCACGGCATGGAGCAGCGAAACTGCTGGTCTCAGCACCTGACGGACGGCGCTAATTTATGTAGACGCTGAGGCATGAATTCCTCAGATGTGCACACGTGCCTAGCCTGCAAATTAAATTGACGTTGACCAAAAGCTATGACAGAACCTTTCATCAGTCAACTGCCGGCCTACGCGCGTTATTTGTTTATGCCGATAGTGGCTCCTCTCGTGCTGGGCTAGACGTCTCCTCTCTCGTATCCGTATCTCGCGTCTCCAGCATCTCGTTTACCGACAATCACGCTCTCTGAGCGCGGGCTGGGCGCCGCCCTCTGCCGGTATCGGGCGCGATGCCGTCTGCTCGTGTCTTGACCTCGTGACCGGCCACTGGCCTATCTGCCAACGGCCTCCGCCCCGGCCTCCCCGGTACTTTGATAACACGGCGCTGCCTCCCACCGCGCCGGGGCGGGGCGGCGGCCCGTGGGGCTGACGGGGCCGCGCCGGTGTGCTGTGCTCACTGTGCTGCTCGAATGCCGAGGGAGAGGTTCCCGACTCTGTCCGGGGGGAGTGTCAGAGAGAAAGGACGACTCCCCTGACTTGCTGGGTGGCTCCCCTAAGACCTTGCGACTGTCTGAAAGAGGAGTGGCTTTGGCTTCCCACTCACACTCGTATGCGGTGATTGATCGGCAAACACAAACTCATTCAGGAAACTGCGATTCAATATTTGACCAAATCTTAACAGGCTTCTCTTTCTCACTTCTTCCTTCTGCTTGCCTTGAACGACAGGCAAAACATGCATCACTGAATCATACTCACACATGCAGCAGGATGTCACTTTCAAGCTGGCCAAGAAATGGACATGAGTGCAGCAACTTAATGCCATTCGGAAGTGATACTTTCTCCATTTAACTTATTCCGCCGTCTGTGCCCGATCAGCATTTTCTTTTCCTTTTCCATAGAAGAGGAAGACGCCAATAACATACCGGAGTTGTATGTGAAGTAGGCATGCATCTATTGTTGCCGTAATAAGGAGAAACGAAACAAACAACCTGCGGGGAACCATAATCTGTTTCCGTTCGCCAGGGAAGCGGAAAAACGATGACGGCGGGGCCTGAATTTGCCCGTCAGTTTTCATGGTAGGTTTCTCTCGTCTTTCCTTTAATGGAAAGGTCATTGGCCGACGGTTAGTGTCCCGGAGTGCCTAGCCGCTGGCGGTGAAACCGACGCCTGCCGAGAGGCTAAATTGGCGGACCGCCGCCTCGGCCATCGCTCTCGGATGGAGTGTGTGCGGGGAGGTGTCTGAATGTGTTTGGGAGATGAAGTGCGTATGTCAGGGAAAGGTATGCGCTACAGAGAGGGAAATTATGCACCACCTGAAACTGAAGTCCTTAAACTGAACTATCGTGTTTCAATGCTCGTAGTTGAAGCCGGGTTTGGGTACTCGCGGCCGGCCGCCTTTAGATGGTACGAGACGGGCCGGGCCGGGCGCAGCTCGCAGTGGCCGCCCACAACCCAGGCTCACATGACGCGTGTTCCGCAAACAATCACGTCACATCCCACAACAGTTCGGGCGGCTCAAAGCCACAGCTACGTAAGTGTCTGTTATATCGAGCGGCTGACGGGCTGCCTTCAGACAGGGTTTCGGAGTCGGAGTCAGAGTCGACGTTGCCCGGAATCGTTGGACATGCCACAAGTTGGAGTCGGAATCGGACCAGGTGCATCGAATTGAACTCTGGAATGTTTATTGGAGGCTGTGAAAAGACCTGCGCATGTAACAATTGGTTGCTCTTCCTGAAAATTGAGCGTGCAAATCCTGGAAACGTTGACATCTGCTTCTAGCAATGAGTGTGCTTGAGTGTGTGTGATATTGTGACGGTGATGATGAAATGATATGATTTGGTATTGAAAGGCCAGGTTGCAATTCGACCTCAAGTCAAAATTTAATGTGTCCGGAGCCTAGAAAAGCCATGGTGCTTGTCAGTCAGTCCCATGTTGTTGAGCTTAAACTCTTTGCATACCGGTATCTTGCTGATGTTTGAGGGTCGGGGCTAAAAGTTATGCAGTCGTTCGGGAAAATGTATGCAAAGGTATTCCAGAAGCGTAAGGAGCGTCAAAGAAACGTTCCCAGCTCCCACACCGCCCAGGTTGTTCATTTCATATAGTTCATAATATATATTTCGTGTCCGATCCAGAGTCGGAGCCGAGGTTGGAGTCGAAGTTGGAGGTGAAGTTGGAGTCGGAGTTGGAGTCAGAGTTGGAGTCGGAGATGGGCGGAGATGGAGTCAGAATCGGAGTCGGAAGTGGAGTTGCCCAGAAAGCCGGAGTCTGAACAGTGCTACCACGACTGACTCTGAAACCCTGCTTCTAGAAGGTTAACAGTTTACAAGTATCTGCGCCTTTTGCTCGAAAGGCTAAACGATTTCATGTATGCAGACGAAATACGAGTATGCAAACAATACCGAATATCAATTACGATTTTAAGGCACATTCTCTTACACGTTTTATGTTTTGCTCGCAGGTTGGAAAGGAGAACAAGGAGCTGCTCAAGGTGACGAACGCCATGAAGGACATCAAGTACAACGGCAGCAAGACCAAGATCGAGCCCACCGACCCTGACAACTTCATGCCTGGTGAGTGTGCTATTCCTGCGCGCAGAGAACCGTTCAGTGGCACGGTGGAGTATCTATCTACTGTCCCCGGTAGCTGAGATGCGCAGAAACGTTCCAAATTCCTACAGTAGTTTCTAATTGTACCGTCCGAAAGCCTTTCATCAGGTGACTGCTTTAAATTGTTCGGTAATTGATTCGATACCGTCCAAGCTGTGGTCGTAATCAGATCCCTTTGCGAGCTGGCTGTTCCGTTCATCTGTCTGCACCTTTGCATGGACAGTCGGCCCCATGCAGGACGGTCATCATCATTATCATCAGCATCAACAGCAGCAGCAGCGGCTAGTGCCAAGTGTTTATTTTATCTGGTTATGTTGAGCGATAACATTATTGTAAGCCCCATACGGAAATCATCATTTGTTTTCTATATCTGGCTCCCATCGGGAAGTTTTAGGAGTTCTTGAAAACTTTATTCCCGCTCCTTGGACGCCAGAATAGTTTGTCCCACGTATTGCGTTTACGCAATATTTCTGTAGGCGGGTACTACGTATCATAGTACGAGCTCGTACATGGCTATTGGCTATAGAAAAGAACGGTGACAGGCAACAGCACTCAGTAAACGAGGAAAATGCTACCGTCTGTGGTTTCGTTTAGATATCCTGCTGGCGAGAGGCTGTAACATGCCTGGAACCTTTGCATAAACCGAGGCTCGGTCGGGCTCGGACCCTAACACCATCCACCCCGGGTCGCCCCTGTGATGAGTCACAACTCCCGTGGTGATTAGTTTTGTCCTCAGTCCAAACTTTCCTACGACTCCCATGGCGCGGGCACTCGTGTTTAGAAATGGCGCAACGAGCACAACTGTGGGCAGGGACACCGCGAGCTGTATCTGAAAGTCACACGGATTCAGTGTTAACGGTTAGCCTAAATGCAGAGAAGTCAGGCTTCTGCAATTAAATTGTCTCGTAGGTGAGAGTGACAAGAGGATAGTGTGTTAGCTGTTAAGTCGGTGATTCACATTATGAAAGCTGTGTCCGTGTCTGCTATTACTTATTACGGCCTGTCGTTTTATTCATGTAGGACATGTATCACTGCATTCACATTTCAATGTAAGCACATTCCCGTGGACTTGAAAAAGAATAGGACCTGTACTCTGTAGGTATATCAATCGTATCGTATTAGGATGACTTTCGTACCACGTCTAGTCTCGTGATAGCATAAAATGTTGCCGAGAAATGTCTTTTTTATTCGATTAATTCATTGGTATTGTATAATGATAAAATTGAGCGGCAAGTGATTGTCTATATCGGCACAATCATTCATATGGCGTAGTCACTGACCACTGGTCAGTGGTCACCTCTGCGTGGGCTATCCTGATATCGGATATCGGCCGAGTTCGGTCGCGATTACCTGCCTCATCGCGGCCACACAGGCCAGTGCGTCCTCCACCCTCCAGAATTGATCTGGGTTTGTTATCGTGCCAGCTGTTGACGGTTTGGGGCGGCACGCCCCTCCCCGGCAACAGACAGAGAAACATTGCCGGTATTTACTTCGGAGCATTTAAATTCGCAGCTAATGCGTCTTCCTCGCCGGCGGGGAGACATTCCATACGGGCGGCTGTCAGGGCCGTACGCCGCAGGTGCTCGCTCGGCCGTGACGCGCCATCCCGGCCCTTCTCCAGCGCTCTCTCCTCTCTCTCTCTCTCTCTCTCTCTCTCTCTCTCTCTCTCTCTCTCTCCCTCCCGCTGTCCTCTCTCCTCTCTTCTCTCTTCTCGAAGCGGTGCGTTGCGCCACTACGGACAGTGTATGACGGTGCTCGTATCTAGCCTGAGCCTGGAGAGCCGTCTGTCGTTTTGTGATCCAGTCTGAAGTTATTTTGAATCCATCCTTGCAAGGATATTGTCCCTATACCTTTACCCCTATTATAACCTTATGTCGTTACATGCGTACGTAAGCTTTTTATTATCACGTGAAAGAACAGGCTTGTATCTGCCGTTTGAGACGGAAGTTTGGCAGGAGTGAGGGGCGGCTGCGCTGCAGTCGGCTCAGCTGACCCGTATGACCTCTGGCAGAGACGGCCCGCCCTCCCGGTGGCAGCGGTGACCTCTCTGTCCACGGGCGGGCTCCGACCAGCTCCGGTAAGGTAACTGCCGAGATTTACCGTCTCGCTCGGAATAGCGAGCTGGTAGCGGCTGCAGTATACAGTCGGAGACTGTGTGGTGGCGTCCCGGGCGCGCCGAGGACCGCGCCTCGCGACTACTGTGCCCCCGACCGACCCCTCTGCCCCCGACCGACCCGACCGACCGGCCGATATAACTGTCCCAGGTGAGCGGTCTCCAGGTCAGCCCCCCGACTATTTGCGGAGGCCTGCCATGGCGACTGGACGCCGAACCTGCACGGCATGTTGGCACCGACCATCAGGGCGGCCAACAGACAACAGCGTCGCCGCCGGCTGTCCACTCGATCTTCTCTGTAGAGGGTCGGCTGGTGACCGGTCAGACACTGCCCTGCCCCACCCTAATTGGCAGGGTGTAACGGCTATCGATTGGAGAGCGTTTGGTACTCAATTTTGGTGCACCGCTCGGCTGCTTGGAAGACTACCCAGTCCCTAGCCTGGCTGTTGGGCATTTGTGGACTCGTACAAGTACAAGGTCGGTCCGAGCCGAGTTTTCTCTCGGTTGTGATGTACTCTACCTAGAACGGTGATTTTATTCTTTTAAGTTTAGCTCGGTGTGACGGACAGTTTCAACGCTAGCATTATTGTCAGCGTTACCCGTAGCTGCTGCATGTTCGTGAACGTCCTGAACTAACAGCATTGATGCAGGGATGGCTGGCTGGCAGGGAAGTGAAATGATAAGGCGATTCCAACGTTCTATTCAATCATATAGGTGTAAATCGTCATGTATGTAGGCATGCAAACATTGCTCCGAACAAGATAAGCTGTCAGTGAAGTAGATACTGTGGTCTTTGAGGCAAATGGGCAGGCCATCTACGATACCTATACTTGATAAGTGGATGATGTGATAGCGGAAGACTTTCCAAGGACGTACCTGTTCCTATCGATGAGTGTCAGCGATTGTCTTTGGTTATCGAACGTTTTCAAACAGTGCATCACATGATCGACCGTAAGGTTACTCGCGGTTCATCTGTACCGTACACAGTTTTGACAACACTTGAGGGTAGATTTATCCAAGGCTATGTAAACTTTATCGCAGTTTGGTTATCTGTGACCTGTTTAGTGTTCATAGGTTGAGGACCTGCCCCACCCAAAGGGCGCCAAACAACTCCAAATTCTATATCTCTTAATCATATTGGAGTGGTAGGCGCGACGGATCTTCCGATTCACTTGAAGATAAATCGTTTAAAGGGACCCTGTAATGTGTATTGGTGCTGTGCTGAGCGTGTGTTTAAGGTCATAAAGGTTCATAGGTGGGCACCCGCGCTTTGATAAGTCAAGGGATTTCGAGCTTCTTTCGTTGTGCACCAAACGATAGCAGTAAAGTTTCCGTGACCTGTATAAAGCACAAGTATGCCAGCGCTTGAAGTGCCTCAGTCCGGAGCAAGGATTGCGATGCCCGACCCGGATCTCTCTCTCTCTCTCTCTCTCTCTCTCTCTCTCTCTCTCTCTCTCTCTCTCTCTCTCTCTCTCTCTCTCTCTCTCTCTCTCTCTCTTTCACTCCAATCTGTTCTCATCCCTTTTGACGTTCAGGTCCAACTGACCACCTGTTCCAAGCTTCCACTGACATGATCCCTTTGCTAATGACTCGCCGTGACATAAGTGTAGCTTCACATTGTCACAAACTATTATCCGTGCTACCCGTCGATGACCAAACGCAGCCCAACTGCCCTGAAGCTTGGACTTATCATTACGATCTTATCACAGAATGAAGCGTCGGAAGGTAAAGGTGCAAAAGTCAAGGACTTCTGCTCTGGGTGCAGCAACACGAGCGCCTGGTCGCACGGCGTAAGTGTTCGTATCCCGTTCCCTTCTCCCTTTATGCGCCGGGTACGGCGACCCCGCACCTGACGGTACTCCACTTCTCTTCACAGACACTCGCGTCTATTGGACGTACGAGGGCTCGCTCACCACGCCGCCGCTGTACGAGAGCGTCACCTGGATCGTGTTCGCCGACCCCACGGAAATATCCAAGGAACAGGTGCGTACGGTGTGCGTTCGACCGTGACCGGACACCAGAGTGTTCAGTGAGGCAGGTCGGCACCCTCCCCGCACTGGGCTGAGGCGGGAGAGAGCGCAGCTCGCCCGCCCCGACCTTCGCGCGGTCGGCGCGGTCGATTGGGGCCGCCGGCGGGCGCCGAGGGCTGCCGCAGCACGCGCCGCTGGGTGATACCGGGTTCCGACGGCGCCGCCGCACCACGCCAGGCCCGCATTACCTGAGCTCAGCCTCCCAGCGGCGTCTGACCTTGGGTCGACCGCAGGCTCGATGTAAATCGCGTCACCGATGGCGTCGGAGATCTATCGCTGTTGTGGGGACGGCGGCGGAGGCGCGGTAAATCCCTCACTCCTGCGGCGGCGGCTGCGGGTGTGGTGAGTCCCCTGCGGCGGCCGGCCGCCCCGCTAATCCGTGACGCAGCCGGCGTTCTGCCAGTCACGGACGCCGGGAATCGAGTCGGCTCCCCTCCTCCCCTGCATTCGTTACGTTGGGTCTGGCTGCTCGACCCATAGTCCGGTAACCTGCACATCATGGTCACAGACCCACTTCTAACGCCGACTGCGATTCGGTCATGTGCTTACTCATGGCTCATGAATGTCCACTGTTCACTACTCGACCATAAAAAACGCATATTTTCTTTCGCTAGAGGCGACGAAGTGTCCACAAAAAGGTCTCTGGGAGGCTTTTGATAATTATCAACGATTTTACCCGTTAGCAGGTAGACAACAAAAAGCTCTAAGGAAGATGGTGGCTTAACCCCATTTAGTTTTTCTCGATGGAGCAAAAACGACCTATGTAGATCGCCACCGTCCGGGGTTTACCGTCTGCGCTCCGGTTTATGGCTGACGGGGTTCTGTGTTCGTTCGCAGCTGGCTGAGTTCCGGCACCTGAAGCGGCACGCCAACGACGACGAGAAGGGCGAGGACAGCGACGACGACGACGGCATCATCGCCGACAACTACCGGCCGCCGATGCCGACCGGCGAGCGCGCCGTGCGCAGCTGCAACGCGCCCGTCAAGTTTGTCAAGAAGCAGTGAGGGCCGCGCGCCGAGCGTCGTCCCGTGGCCGTCTCCGGCGCGGGGCGGTCCGCGCTAGACACCGCGCCGCTCAGCCCACCCGCGGCCGGCTGTCCAGAGACTGCCGGAGACCCGGCTCATCGCTCACCGCACTGGTGGAGACATGCGCTTCCTGTTAGAGGCTCCCAGCGGGGCCAGCCTTAGCTACATCAGTAGTGTTTGTCTAGGACAATCCAGAGATATATCGCATCGTTGCGCGTAGAGAGTTGTTGAGCCGAATTAGTTTTGTACTCGATGTTGATTGTTTCTGTGAGCGGCCGTCCGTGCCGACGGTTTACCGTGGCGTCGATATGTCGCTGTCTGACTCTGTGGACTGTGCCGCCGGTGTACGGTTTTGGTCGGGGATTTAGCCCCGACTGGCAGGCCGTAGTGCGGTAGTGCAATCAGCACGGCGGGGTCGCACAAGGGTCAGGTCCCAGACACTGCAATACACCAGTGAATATACTAACCCCGATCTCTGCGATGTTGTTGGTCGTGAGGTAACCGGGTTCAGAGACCTATATAGAGAAGGTAGGGAGGATAGTGCTGCAGACGAGAGGATTGAAAGAGGAGCCTGGAATTTCCGAACTGCAGCGTGCAGTGGTCGTAATTCGGTCTCGAGAGCTCTGGGAACGTGGCATGAGAATCACTGCAGCCGGTGAGCGTCTGCTCACATGTTGGCATCACGGCCGATCAGCATTCACATTACGGGACGCCACAGCTGTGAACAGTCACCGTCAGCCCAAAGCTGCAGCCCGTTTTGTGTAAAAGGGCACCTTTGTAATCCGAGGTCATAGGTGTGTGTGTGTGGGGGGGGGGGGGGCGGTGACCTAAACGAACGGACGACCAAAGGTCAGGCTCGCGTTTGCTGGGATGTGTGTGTGTCGGCTATGGCACAGTAAAGATGGTTAATTACCAGCGTCAGTGGACTGGTGGCTGTCTCCGTGTCGCACGCCATTTCCTCGAAATAAGCGACGGTGCGACACTGAGCGAAGGGATATCGTTAGCTTTCGAGCACAGAATGCAGTAATGTCATCGATCACCTTTTTTACTGCAACACAGCCGGCGAATATGACCAGTTGCATCGTGGTGTCCTTGAGCGTACACGATACTGCCGGCCGCAAATGACGCGGTACGCTGGCTGATTCCAGCACCCCCCTCCCCGGCCGGTATAGGGAAATGTGAGCAGCTTGCTGTCTTGGCTTCCATTAGTCCCGCCCCTTCCCGCTCAGCCGCCCGGCTTCTTTACTACGCCAAATGCCGCCGGATTTCTTAACACTGCCAGAGCGGCTCCATTACCCATTCTCTGGCTGTCGCATCGTTCTCGATTACCCCATTAGCGGACCCAATTACCACCTGCATCGGCGAACTCCGTTTCTCTAAATGGCTTCTAGCCCCATCGCCCTAGCTTAGCTCTACTATGCATCAGCCATCTTTTTCCATTACCCCGCAAGCCTGGCTTTTCTACCGTCCCCCTCCCTAGCCGTCTCAGATAACCCAGCAGCCCAGCTCAATCACCTCAGCAGTCCGGCGCTTCTACCGTCCTCCCTAGCCGGCTGCAGTACCTACCCCACCAGCCCAGCTCAATCACCCCAGCAGTCCGGCGCTTCTACCGTCCCCCTCTCTAGCCGGCTGCAGTACCCCACCAGCCCAGCTCAATCACCCCAGCAGTCCACGTCTGTCAAGACAGCCTCAGATTCAGATTCACTTTCAGAATCACATTCGGACCCCCTTAGATTTTCATAAAAACTAGTCCGTGGGTACAGTTTTGGACGCTGATTCCAACGGTGAAGTCTGTTTTTCGCCACATATTATACTTTGGCCCCTAGAGGCATTCAAATTTTTTTTGGGGCGAAGGGGGACCCCCTTAGATTTTCATAAAAACTGGTCCATGTGTACAGTTTTGGACGCTGATTCCAACGGTGAAGTCTGTTTTTCGCCACATATTATACTTTGGCCCCTAGAGGCATTCAAAGTTTTTTGGGGAAGGGGGACCCCCTTATATTTCAATAAAAACTGGTCCATGTGTACAGTTTTGGACGCTGATTCCAATGGTGAAGTCTGTTTTTCGCCACATATTATACTTTGGCCCCTAGAGGCATTCAAATTTTTTTGGGGCGAAGGGGGACCCCCTTAGATTTTCATAAAAACTGGTCCATGTGTACAGTTTTGGACGCTGATTCCAACGGTGAAGTCTGTTTTTCGCCACATATTATACTTTGGCCCCTAGAGGCATTCAAAGTTTTTTGGGGGAAGGGGGACCCCCTTAGATTTTCATAAAAACTGGTCCATGTGTACAGTTTTGGACGCTGATTCCAATGGTGAAGTCTGTTTTTCGCCACATATTATACTTTGGCCCCTAGAGGCATTCAAAGTTTTTTTTTTTCGAAGGGGGACCCCCTTAGATTTTCATAAAAACTGGTCCATGGGTACAGTTTTGGACGCTGATTCCAATGGTGAAGTCTGTTTTCGCCACATATTATACTTTGGCCCCTAGAGGCATTCAGATTCACTTTCAGAATCACAATCGGACCCCCTTAGATTTTCATAAAAACTGGTCCATGTGTACAGTTTTGGACGCTGATTCCAATGGTGAAGTCTGTTTTTCGCCACATATTATATTTTGGCCCCTAGAGGCATTCAAAGTTTTTTTTTGGGCGAAGGGGGACCCCCTTAGATTTTCATAAAAACTGGTCCATGTGTACAGTTTTGGACGCTGATTCCAACGGTAAAGTCTGTTTTTCGCCACATATACTTTGGCCCCTAGAGGCATTCAAAGTTTTTTGGGGGAAGGGGGACCCCCTTAGATTTTCATAAAAACTGGTCCATGTGTACAGTTTTAGACGCTGATTCCAATGGTGAAGTCTGTTTTTCGCCACATATTATACTTTGGCCCCTAGAGGCATTCAAAGTTTTTTTGGGGCGAAGGGGGACCCCCTTAGATTTTCATAAAAACTGGTCCATGGGTACAGTTTTGGACGCTCATTCCAATGGTGAAGTCTGTTTTTCGCCACATATTATACTTTGGCCCCTAGAGGCATTCAAATTTTTTTTTTGGGGCGAAGGGGGACCCCCTTAGATTTTCATAAAAACTGGTCCATGTGTACAGTTTTGGACGCTGATTCCAATGGTGAAGTCTGTTTTTCGCCACATATTATACTTTGGCCCCTAGAGGCATTCAAAGTTTTTTGGGGGAAGGGGGACCCCCTTAGATTTTCATAAAAACTGGTCCATGTGTACAGTTTTGGACGCTGATTCCCATGGTGAAGTCTGTTTTTCGCCACATATTATACTTTGGCCCCTAGAGGCATTCAGATTCACTTTCAGAATCACATTCGGACCCCCTTAGATTTTCATAAAAACTGGTCCATGTGTACAGTTTTGGACGCTGATTCCAATGGTGAAGTCTGTTTTTCGCCACATATTATACACTTTGGCCCCTAGAGGCATTCAAAGTTTTTTGTGGCGAAGGGGGACCTCCTTAGATTTTCATAAAAACTGGTCCATGTGTACAGTTTTGGACGCTGATTCCAACGGTGAAGTCTGTTTTTCGCCACATATTATACTTTGGCCCCTAGAGGCATTCAAAGTTTTTTGGGGCGAAGGGGGACCCCCTTAGATTTTCATAAAAACTGGTCCATGTGTACAGTTTTGGACGCTGATTCCAACGGTGAAGTCTGTTTTTCGCCACATATTATACTTTGGCCCCTAGAGGCATTCAAAGTTTTTTGGGGGAAGGGGGACCCCCTTAGATTTTCATAAAAACTGGTCCATGTGTACAGTTTTGGACGCTGATTCCCATGGTGAAGTCTGTTTTTCGCCACATATTATACTTTGGCCCCTAGAGGCATTCAGATTCACTTTCAGAATCACATTCGGACCCCCTTAGATTTTCATAAAAACTGGTCCATGTGTACAGTTTTGGACGCTGATTCCAATGGTGAAGTCTGTTTTTCGCCACATATTATACTTTGGCCCCTAGAGGCATTCAAAGTTTTTTGTGGCGAAGGGGGACCTCCTTAGATTTTCATAAAAACTGGTCCATGTGTACAGTTTTGGACGCTGATTCCAACGGTGAAGTCTGTTTTTCGCCACATATTATACTTTGGCCCCTAGAGGCATTCAAATTTTTTTTGGGGAAGGGGGACCCCCTTAGATTTTCATAAAAACTGGTCCATGTGTACAGTTTTGGACGCTGATTCCAATGGTGAAGTCTGTTTTTCACCACATATTATACTTTGGCCCCTAGAGGCATTCAAAGTTTTTTTGGGGCGAAGGGGGACCCCCTTAGATTTTCATAAAAACTGGTCCATGGGTACAGTTTTGGACGATGATTCCAATGGTGAAGTCTGTTTTTCGCCACATATTATACTTTGGCCCCTAGAGGCATTCAGATTCACTTTCAGTATCACATTCGGACCCCCTTAGAGTTTCATAAAAACTGGTCCATGGGTAAAACTTTGAATGCCTCTAGGGGCAAAGTATAATATGTGGCGAAAAACGGACTTCACCGTTGGAATCAGCGTCCAAAACTGTACACATGGACCAGTTTTTATGAAAATCTAAGGGGGTCCCCCTTCGCCACAAAAAAACTTTGAATGCCTCTAGGGGCCAAAGTATAATATGTGGCGAAAAACAGACTTCACCATTGGAATCAGCGTCCAAAACTGTACACATGGACCAGTTTTTATGAAAATCTAAGGGGGTCCCCCTTCGCCCCAAAAAAAACTTTGAATGCCTCTAGGGGCCAAAGTATAATATGTGGCGAAAAACAGACTTCACCATTGGAATCAGCGTCCAAAACTGTACACATGGACCACTTTTGATGAAAATCTAAGGGGGTCCGAATGTGATTCTGAAAGTGAATCTGAATGCCTCTAGGGGCCAAAGTATAATATGTGGCGAAAAACAGACCTCACCATGGGAATCAGCGTCCAAAACTGTACACATGGACCAGTTTTTATGAAAATCTAAGGGGGTCCCCCTTCGCCCGAAAAAAAACTTTGAATGCCTCTAGGGGCCAAAGTATAATATGTGGCGAAAAACAGACTTCACCATTGGAATCAGCGTCCAAAACTGTACACATGGACCAGTTTTTATGAAAATGTAAGGGGATCCCCCTTTCCCCAAAAAACTTTGAATGCCTCTAGGGGCCAAAGTATAATATGTGGCGAAAAACAGACTTCACCGTTGGAATCAGCGTCCAAAACTGTACACATGGACCAGTTTTTTATGAAAATCTAAGGAGGTCCCCCTTCGCCACAAAAAACTTTGAATGCCTCTAGGGGCCAAAGTATAATATGTGGCGAAAAACAGACTTCACCATTGGAATCAGCGTCCAAAACTGTACACATGGACCAGTTTTTATGAAAATCTAAGGGGGTCCGAATGTGATTCTGAAAGTGAATCTGAATGCCTCTAGGGGCCAAAGTATAATATGTGGCGAAAAACAGACTTCACCATTGGAATCAGCGTCCAAAACTGTACACATGGACCAGTTTTTATGAAAATCTAAGGGGGTCCGAATGTGATTCTGAAAGTGAATCTGAATGCCTCTAGGGGCCAAAGTATAATATGTGGCGAAAAACAGACTTCACCATGGGAATCAGCGTCCAAAACTGTACACATGGACCAGTTTTTATGAAAATCTAAGGGGGTCCCCCTTCCCCCAAAAAACTTTGAATGCCTCTAGGGGCCAAAGTATAATATGTGGCGAAAAACAGACTTCACCGTTGGAATCAGCGTCCAAAACTGTACACATGGACCAGTTTTTATGAAAATCTAAGGGGGTCCCCCTTCGCCCAAAAAACAACTTTGAATGCCTCTAGGGGCCAAAGTATAATATGTGGCGAAAAACAGACTTCACCATTGGAATCAGCGTCCAAAACTGTACCCATGGACCAGTTTTTATGAAAATCTAAGGGGGTCTCCCTTCGCCCCAAAAAAACTTTGAATGCCTCTAGGGGCCAAAGTATAATATGTCGCGAAAAACAGACTACACCATTGGAATCAGCGTCCAAAACTGTACACATGGACTAGTTTTTATGAAAATCTAAGGGGGTCCCCCTTCCCCCAAAAAACTTTGAATGCCTCTAGGGGCCAAAGTATATTATGTGGCGAAAAACAGACTTCACCGTTGGAATCAGCGTCCAAAACTGTACACATGGACCAGTTTTTATGAAAATCTAAGGGGTCCCCCTTCGCCCAAAAAAAACTTTGAATGCCTCTAGGGGCCAAAGTATAATATGTGGCGAAAAACAGACTTCACCATTGGAATCAGCGTCCAAAACTGTACACATGGATCAGTTTTTATGAAAATCTAAGGGGGTCCCCCTTCCCCCAAAAAACTTTGAATGCCTCTAGGGGCCAAAGTATAATATGTGGCGAAAAACAGACTTCACCGTTGGAATCAGCGTCCAAAACTGTACACATGGACCAGTTTTTATGAAAATCTAAGGGGATCCCCCTTCGCCCCAAAAAAAACTTTGAATGCCTCTAGGGGCCAAAGTATAAGATGTGGCGAAAAACAGACTTCACCGTTGGAATCAGCGTCCAAAACTGTACCCATGGACCAGTTTTAATGAAAATCTAAGGGGGTCCGAATGTGATTCTGAAAGTGAATCTGAATCTGAGGCTGTCTTGACAGACGTCAGCAGTCCGGCGCTTCTACTGTCCTCCCTAGCCGGCTGCAGTACCTACCCCACCAGCCCAGCTCAATCACCCCAGCAGTCCGGCGCTTCTACTGTCCTCCCTAGCCGGCTGCAGTACCCCACCAGCCCAGCTCAATCACCCCAGCAGTCCGGCGCTTCTACTGTCCTCCCTAGCCGGCTGCAGTACCCCACCAGCCCAGCTCAATCACCCCAGCAGTCCGGCGCTTCTACTGTCCTCCCCAGGGGCGGATCCAGGAAAACTCCAAGGGGAGGGTCATGAATCGAAGTGGTGCCCCTACCTATACCCAAAATTAAAAACTCTTCGGATTTCGGCCACTTCATTTTGGTGGTGCCCTATTTTCGTTTTTTTTTTATATATTTTATTTTGTGTGTGTTGCCCCTGGCGGGCCTGTGGTGCCCCTGCTAGGCCGCAGGTGCCCCTGACAGGTTTGTGGTGCCCCTGGAAGGCCTGTGGTGCCCCCTGACAAGCCTGAAGTGCCAACGACAGGCCAGTGGTGCATCTGACAGGCCCATGGTGCCCCTGCGAGGCCGGTGGTGCCCCTGGCAGGCCGGTACCCGTGCTAGGCCGCCGGTGCCCCTGGGCTCTGACAGGACTGTGGTGCCACTGATAAGCCTGAAATGTCCCCGACAGGCACGTGGTGCCCCTGACGGGCCAAAGGTGCCCCTGCGAGGCCGGTGGTGCCTCTGGAAGGACTGTGGTGCCCCTGGGCCCTGATAAGCCTGAGGTGCCCCTGGCAGGCCTGTGGTGCCCCTGACAGGCTCAAGGTGCTCCTGCGAGGCCGGTGGTGCCCCTGACAGGCCTGTGGTGCCCCTGCCAGGCCTGTGGTGCCCCTGCCAGGCCTGTGATGCCCCTGCAAGGCCTCTGGTGTCCCTGACAGGCCTGTGGTGCCCCTGGAAAGACTGTGGTGCCCCTGGGCCCTGACAAGACTGAGGTGCACCTGCCAGGCCCGTGGTATCCCCGACAAGCCCGTGGTGCCCTTGCTAGGCCTGTGGTGCCCCTGACAGGCCTGTGGTGCCCCTGGCGGGCCTGTGGTGCCCCTGCTAGGCCACTGCTGCCCCTGGGCCCTGACAGGACTGTGGTGCCCCTGACAAGCATGAAGTGCCCCCACAGGCCCGTGGTGCCCCTGACAGGCCCAAGGTGCCCCTGCCAGATCGGTGGTGCCCCTGGCAGGCCTGCGGTGCCCCTGGCGGGCCTGTGGTGCCTCTGCTAGGCCGCTGGTGCCCCTGGGCTCTTACAGGACTGTGGTGCCCCTGACAACCCTGAAGTGCCTCCGACAGGCCCGTGGTGCCCCTGACAGACTCAAGGTGCCCCTGCGAGGCCTGTAGTGCCCCTGACAGGCCTGTGGTGCCCCTGCAAGGCCTCTGGTGCCCCTGGAAAGACTGTGGTGCCCCTGGGTCCTGACAAGCCTGACGTGTCCCTGCCAGGCCTTTGGTGCCCCCGACAGGCCCGTGGTGCCCTTGCTAGGCCTTTGGTGCCCCTGACAGGCCTGTGGTGCCCCTGGCGGGCCTGTGGTGCCCCTGCTAAGCCACTGCTGCCCCTGGGCCCTGACAGGACTGTGGTGCCCCTGACAAGCCTGAAGTGCCCCCACAGGCCCAAGGTGCTCCTGCGAGGCCGGCGGTGCCCCTGGCAGGCCTCTGGTGCCCCTGGCAGGTCTGTGGTGGCCCTGGCAGACCTGTGGTGCTTTTGCTAGGCCGATGGTGCTCCTGACAGGCCTGTGGTGCCCCTGACAGGTCCGTGGTGCCCCTGCTAGGCCTGTGGTGCCCCTGGCGGGCCTGTGGTGCCCCCGAGCCCCAAGGAGGGGGTCATGACCCATGTGACCCCCCCCTTGGATCCGCCACTGGTCCTCCCTAGCCGGCTGCAGTACCCCACCAGCCCAGCTCAATCACCCCAGCAGTCCGGCGCTTCTACTGTCCTCCCTAGCCGGCTGCAGTACCTACCCCACCAGCCCAACTCAGTTCCCCATCAGCCCGTATTCCCTTGCCGACCATCCGGTCCGGCGCCGCACAGTCTCTCTGCCTGCCGGCTGAACACTGCGCCACGCACATCGCTATTGCGTGGGCGCGCTGCGCTGCCGCCGGTTCGGGCCCGGTGCCAGCTCGCCGCGCGATCGATGCGTCGGCCGGGACGCCGCCGGCGCCGGAGATGGCCCATCGGCGCAGCGCCGGTCGGTCGGTCGGTAGGTCGCAGCAGCCGGTGCCGAGATCGGTCACCGGGCGCTGCGGCGGGATTGGAGGAATACATGGTACCCGACCTGTTACCGCCCGGGAACACCGACCCAGAGTGTAGAGCGTTCACACACTGTCACCAGCCACAGTGTTCCGTTTATAGCGCAAAGTTAGACTGGAAGCGAAACAGAGCCAGCCCGTACCACAGCCAGCAGAGCCCAATCACCGCGGCTGAATCGCTGACACCGAGCCGTCTGCTGCTCCCCCAGGGACCGTTCGCTGCCACTATTGCGTGCGTGCGGCTCCGATAGTACGCGACTATGGCCGGTACAGACAGACAGCATAATGCAAGCGACCAATCAGGCTCGGTCCGTTTATTGACAGGTCCAAAAGTAGTGGCACGATCGCTCACTCTGTCTATCTAGAACAAAAGAGGACGGGAAGAACGAGGAAGCTTCTGCTCCACCGATCCAAGAGGAAAAGACGGCCGACAATACCCCTGCCTCACTCGGAGAGACAGTGCAGCCGAGGCCTGCCCTGCTCCACGGAACCGGGAGGAGGAGACCCGCTTAGAAGCTAGTGTGGCAGAGTCAAATCATTCAGATTGTGCAGGTAGACAGGGCCAGCGCGCGACCAGAAACCAGCGCTCAGCTCTGGCAACAACTTTCAGAGGAACAGGTGGACAAGAAAATAAATCAAATAGAAAACACAGATATCAGCATTGAGACAAAAGTAAGTACTAACTGCCGAACATTTACCAATCCACTGCAGGTTTGTTTCACTCGGTAGATAAATTTCACAAGAAACTGCACATGGATGTAAGAGTACCGCAGATCGCCGCATAACAAAATTAAATAGCATTCGATATATACAAACAGTGTAAACCATAAAGTCGAGCTATCTGACTAGGAGGGCAAACGCCTATCCTAGGCCTTTATGCTATCCTATGGTAGCCAAGTCTCTTTTCAACGACTAATAAGAACTATCAGGGTAAATCACTCTGAAAAGCTTTAACAATTATTGCTTTGACTCACGCATCAGGCACACATACACTTTCCGTAAGGATCTAAGCCCACAAGGCTTAGTCGGCACCAAAGCAACACCAGACAAGACATGATCATTTGTGTAAATTTATGGCTAGACGCTCCTGAGAAGTGAACACCGTCATTTGAGAACGTAACATATTAAAGCTGTTCCGCAACTACCTCCCATGTTGATTCGATCATATAAAATTTATAGAAAATATTGTCCATTTAGATCGCTGCTAACAATCACGTACCCAAATCCATAAGAAAACTGCAGCCTGACAGCCCAAAACCAGCAAACAACGCTCATTCGAGACGATTGAGCACACGAGTAGGCACTTGCTGCCAACAGGGCTCCGGTTGGGGTTTGCGGCGCTGGAGGACGCGCTAGCTGCCTCACCCGGTCGAGTTTAGTGAGTTCGACCACTAGTGGGTCCGCAGGCGAACACCCGAGTCCGGCTGGAAGCTGACCGGCCGCTGTATGGCCGCCACTGCCGCCGCCTTGGAGGAGAAGCGGCGAGACAGCCGGTGGCGGGTCTCGCGGCGCCGCTGTGGACAGAGTCCGACGTCAGTCACGGGGTGTAAGCTACAGTGTAGATCGCTGTGGACAGGGCGTCAGTCGACAATCACAGGGCGCCACTGTGGACAGGAAGGTAGGTAGTCAAAGACGCCGCTGTAGATAGGGCGTCAGACGTTAGTCACAGGGAGCAGTCGTCAGTCATAGGGCGCAACTGTGGACAGAAAGGTAGTCACCAGGGCGCCGCTGTCGATAGGACGTCAGACGTTAGTCATCGGGCGACACTGTGGACAGGAAGGTAGTCACCAGGGCGCCGCTGTCGATGGGGTATAATTCAGATAGCTATGATTCAGATCAGATATAATTCAGATAGCTAGGCCACCCCCTGTGGACAGGAAGTCATTCACAAATCACAGGATGCCCGTACAAGGGAAGGACGGACCACCGATGGCGGTTTACTGGTGCCCGGCCGCTATCCAGCCCCGTTACCGACCCCGTCCGGCCCGGTCCGACCCTATCGGCGTCCGCTACCGTCCACCGGACACGGGATACCGGTCACCACCGGTGGGTGGGGCACGAAACGGGATACGTGCGGCCGCCGGCCGGACCAACATATACAACACAGGCGGGCCGGGCTGCAGCGGGGATACGGAAACGGAGCGAAACGCGGATAAACAAAAGCGCTCACTGACATGCAAACGGAAGGAATGTGGTCATGGGTCTCCGAAAATTTGGCGACTGGTGAAGCTCCCTAGTCCCTAGGCTCCGCAGCAGTCAATCACCAGAGAAAGTACTCCCTCCCTTTCCCACATGTCTTTTATGAGCAATAAAAGCCGTCGACGGCATAACCAAAGCACCTGGCCCAGAAACAAACAGGAAGGAATCACAGCCACATTTCAGCAGAAAATGATGTCACATCCAGTCAGCTAGTACAATCAGTGGTACGGCAGCGTGCTTAAAAGTGACGTTATCCAACAGGCCCTGTTGCCAACTGTAGTGTAACAAGGCGGGAAGGCAGCCGGTCGCTCGTTCTGTCACTCACCTTCCTGTGCAGCTGCTGGCGCACTCGGTACTCGTGTGACGCGATCGCCTTGCGGATCCAGTATGGCACGTTGGGCACCACCTGAGTCAGGGTGAGTTTGAGCGCCAGCAGAGTGTGTTCCAGTAGTACAAACACCACCACCCACTCGACGGAGGTGAGGCCGGGAGCCAGTGAACGCAGCGCCGGGGACATGCAGAGCAGCGCGCAGTTGGTGAATACAGCCACGAAGCCGAGCACCTCGAACGCCGGCTGTGGGAGGGCGGGGGGGGGGGGGAGTCAGTCATGACTATACACTGGGTAAAGGCGGGGACACATGGGAGCCGGCAGGGGATACTCGGCTGAGCAACAGTTGAAGTAGCATATGGTAGCATATGGCAAGGTTGAAAGTATGCTGCGCCATGGGATGCACTTTTGGTGCAGCATTGCTCAGATAAAAAAGTAATCCAATCTCCAATTAAGTTCATAACACTCAACATTACCTGTTCCTTTATCATTATACTTACTTCATATAATCTGGTATGGTATACGTAACCCTGACTCTGTTGTTGAATGAGGTCTTACTGCATACTCTTCCAGACTTACATAAACATAAACAAACATCATAACTACCTATATAGATATCTAATATCTATGCTCCAGTACCTATATCAATAGGTATGCATTGCCTTTGTTTACCAACAAATCATAGTACACACGCCACGTGATTCACAAATAGCAGCATCAAGGTTGGATGAATTGTGCCTCTGTTGCATATGTCACGTGACATACATATCTTCTCATTCCAAATAAAAGTGTGTTTAGAAGACTAATTTATAAAAAATAGTTAGAGCTCACTGCTCGAGTTTGAGCCATTTTGTTTCCATTTGTAGTTTCAACATTTCAAGCATTACAAAGTATTGCAGTTTATAGTAAAAATTAGCTTGAAATTAAGGCCTGGTCGGAATCGGCTGCTGTGCTGTTGTCAGCTGAGATCCAAGCCCCTGATTGGTTGAGATATTGATGACGTATCACGCCTTCCCGCGCTGTGACGTCATACCTCTGCTGACAGCCGGCTTTTCGGGGACAACACTATTCGACCGCCACCCTTGCAGCCATTCTATAACTCAGGAACTACTGGACTGATCGGAACGAACGAAACACCATTCGAATCAAGGGGTACGATTTTATCAGCCGTTTCGAAGCTCGTGACCCCAGGTGACCTCGGTGACCTCAAGAGGTCAACTCGGCATTGACGCCTATTGCAGCCATTCTATAACTCAGGAACTACTGGGCCGATCGCGACAAAAACACCACCAGTCGAATCAGCGTATGCGATTTCATCAGCCGTTTTGAATATGGTGACCTCAGGTGACCTCGGTGACCTCAAAAGGTCAACTTAACGTTTTCGCCTATTGCAGCCATTCTATAACTCAGGAACTGCTGGGCCGATCGCGACGAAAACACCACCAGTCGATTCAGCGTATGCGGTTTCATCAGCCGTTTCGAATATGGTGACCTCAGGTGACCTCGGTGACCTTGGGAGGTCACATGACCGTTGTGGCCTATGGCAGCCATTCTATAACTCAGAAACTACTGGGCCGATCGCGACGAAAACGGCACCAGTCGATTCAGCGTATGCGGTTTCATCAGCCGTTTCGAATATGGTGACCTCAGGTGACCTCGGTGACCTTGGGAGGTCACATGACCGATGTGGCCTATGGCAGCCATTCTATAACTCAGGAACTACTGTGCCGATCGCGACGAAAACACCACCAGTCGATTCAGCGTATGCGATTTCATCAGCCGTTTTGAATATGGTGACCTCAGGTGACCTCGGTGACCTCAAAAGGTCAACTTAACGTTTTCGCCTATTGCAGCCATTCTATATCTCAGGAACTACTGGGCCGATCGTGACGAAAACACCACCAGTCGATTCAGCGTATGCGATTTCATCAGCCGTTTCGAATATGGTGACCTTAGGTGACCTCAGTGACCTTGGGAGGTCACATGACCGTTGTGGCCTATGGCAGCCATTCTATAACTCAGGAACTACTGGGCCGATCGCGACGAAAACACCACCAGTCGATTCAGCGTATGCGATTTCATCAGCCGTTTCGAATATGGTGACCTCACGTGACCTCGGTGACCTTGGGAGGTCACATGACCGATGTGGCCTATGGCAGCCATTCTATAACTCAGGAACTACTGGGCCGATCGCGACGAAAACACCACCAAACGAATCAGCGTATGCGATTTCATCAGCCGTTTCGAATATGGTGACCTCTGGTGACCTAGGTGACCTCAAAAGGTCAACTTAACGTTTTCGCCTATTGCAGCCATTCTATAACTCAGGAACTACTGGGCCGATCGTGACGAAAACACCACCAGTCGATTCAGCGTATGCGATTTCATCAGCCGTTTCGAATATGGTGACCTCAGGTGACCTCGGTGACCTTGGGAGGTCACATGACCGATGTGGCCTATGGCAGCCATTCTATAACTCAGGAACTACTGGGCCGATCGCGACGAAAACACCACCAGTCGATTCAGCGTATGCGATTTCATCAGCCGTTTCGAATATGGTGACCTCAGGTGACCTCGGTGACCTCGAAAGGTCAACTTTACGTTTTCGCCTATTGCAGCCATTCTATAACTCAGGAACTACTGGGCCGATCGTGACGAAAACACCACCAGTCGATTCAGCGTATGCGATTTCATCAGCCGTTTCGAATATGGTGACCTTAGGTGACCTCAGTGACCTTGGGAGGTCACATGACCGTTGTGGCCTATGGCAGCCATTCTATAACTCAAAAACTACTGGGCCGATCAAGACGAAAACACCACCAGTCGATTCAGCGTATGCGATTTCATCAGCCGTTTCGAATATGGTGACCTCAGGTGACCTCGGTGACCTTGGGAGGTCACATGACCGATGTGGCCTATGGCAGCCATTCTATAACTCAGGAACTACTGGGCCGATCGCGACGAAAACACCACCAGTCGAATCAGCGTATGCGAATTCATCAGCCGTTTCGAATATGGTGACCTCAGGTGACCTAGGTGACCTCAAAAGGTCAACTTAACGTTTTCGCCTATTGCAGCCATTCTATAACTCAGGAACTACTAGGCCGATCGCGACGAAAACACCACCAGTCGAATCCGCGTATGCGATTTCATCAGCCGTTTCGAATATGGTGACCTCAGGTGACCTCAGTGACGTTGGGAGGTCACATGACCGTTGTGGCCTATGGCAGCCATTCTATAACTCAGGAACTACTGGGCCGATCGCGACGAAAACACCACCAGTCGATTCAACGTATGCGATTTCATCAGCCGTTTCGAATATGGTGACCTCAGGTGACCTCGGTGACCTTGGGAGGTCACATGACAGTTGTGGCCTATGGCAGCCATTCTATAACTGAGGAACTACTGGGCCGATCGCGACGAAAACGCCTCCAGTCGATTCAGCGTATGCGATTTCATCAGCCGTTTCGAATATGATGACCTCAGGTGACCTCGGTGACCTTGGGAGGTCACATGACCGATGTGGCCTATGGCAGCCATTCTATAACTCAGGAACTACTAAGCCGATCGCGACGAAAACACCACCAGTCGATTCAGCGTATGCAATTTCATCAGCCGTTTCGAATATGGTGACCTCAGGTGACCTCGGTGACCTTGGGAGGTCACATGACCGATGTGGCCTACGGCAGCCATTCTATAACTCAGGAACTACTGGGCCGATCGCGACGAAAACACCACCAGTCGAATCAGCGTATACGATTTCATCAGCCGTTTCGAATATGGTGACCTCAGGTGACCTCGGTGACCTCAAAAGGTCAACTTAACGTTTTCGCCTATTGCAGCCATTCTATAACTCAGGAACCACTGGGCCGATCGCGACGAAAACACCACCAGTCGAATCAGCGTATGCGATTTCATCAGCCGTTTCGAATATGGTGACCTCAGGTGACTTCGGTGACCTTGGGAGGTCACATGACCGTTGTGGCCTATGGCAGCCATTATATAACTCAGGAACTACTGGGCCGATCGTGACGAAAACACCACCAGTCGATTCAGCGTATGCAATTTCATCAGCCGTTTTGAATATGGTGACCTTAGGTGACCTCAGTGACCTTGGGAGGTCACATGACCGTTGTGGCCTATGGCAGCAATTCTATAACTCAGGAACTACTGGGCCGATCGCGACGAAAACACCACCAGTCGATTCAGCGTATGCGATTTCATCAGCCGTTTCGAATATGGTGACCTCAGGTGACCTCGGTGACCTTGGGAGGTCACATGACCGATGTGGCCTATGGCAGCCATTCTATAACTCAGGAACTACTGGGCCGATCGCGACGAAAACACCACCAGTCGATTCAGCGTATGCGATTTCATCAGCCGTTTCGAATATGGTGACCTCAGGTGACCTCGGTGACCTCGAAAGGTCAACTTTACGTTTTCGCCTATTGCAGCCATTCTATAACTCAGGAACTACTGGGCCGATCGTGACGAAAACACCACCAGTCGATTCAGCGTATGCGATTTCATCAGTTGTTTCGAATATGGTGACCTTAGGTGACCTCAGTGACCTTGGGAGGTCACATGACCGTTGTGGCCTATGGCAGCCATTCTATAACTCAGGAACTACTGGGCCGATCGCGACGAAAACACCACCAGTCGATTCAGCGTATGCGATTTCATCAGCCGTTTCGAATATGGTGACCTCAGGTGACCTCGGTGACCTTGGGAGGTCACATGACCGATGTGGCCTATGGCAGCCATTCTATAACTCAGGAACTACTGGGCCGATCGCGACGAAAACACCACCAGTCGATTCAGCGTATGCGATTTCATCAGCCGTTTCGAATATGGTGACCTCAGGTGACCTCGGTGACCTTGGGAGGTCACATGACCGATGTGGCCTATGGCAGCCATTCTATAACTCAGGAACTACTGGGCCGATCGCGACGAAAACACCACCAGTCGATTCAGTGTATGCGATTTCATCAGCCGTTTCGAATATGGTGACCTCAGGTGACCTCGGTGACCTCAAAAGGTCAACTTTACGTTTTCGCCTATTGCAGCCATTCTATAACTCAGGAACTACTGGGCCGATCGTGACGAAAACACCACCAGTCGATTCAGCGTATGCGATTTCATCAGCCGTTTCGAATATGGTGACCTTAGGTGACCTCAGTGACCTTGGGAGGTCACATGACCGTTGTGGCCTATGGCAGCCATTCTATAACTCAGGAACTACTGGG